GGTCCGAGTCATTCTTGATACGTACCTCTGAAAGCAGAGCTCTCGCTTCCGAGCTCGTATTGCGAAGGGGAGGCCTGCCTTCCGAGATCGCATTACAAAGGGGAACCCTAGAGTCCAAAATCGTATATCGAACTTCGAAAACCGAAAAAAATATCTTCGGCTCAGAATGATCAGGGTAGCATGAAACATGAACAAAAGTAGTTTCCAGAAAAACTTTGAAAAATTGAAAATTGTGACTTAGAAAATTTTCGGTCCGAGTCATTCTTGATACGTACCTCTGAAAGCAGAGCTCCCGCTTCCGAGCTCGTATTGCGAAGGGCCGGGGAGGCCTGCCTTCCGAGATCTCATTACAAAGGGGAACCCTAGATTCCAAAATCGTATATCGAACTTCGAAAACCGAAAAAATATTTTCGGCTCAGAATGATTAGGGTAGCATGAAACTTGCGCGCATCCAATAATGCTTCTCGCAACCACAGATCGGCGAGATGAGAAGGATTGACATGACATCGTGAATCAAGATGAAACATGAACAAAAGTAGTTTCCAGAAAAACTTTGAAAAATTTTGACTTCTAAAATTTTTGACTTAAAAATGTTTGACTTATAAATATTTGACTTAAAAATGTTCTTACAAACCTAAATTAAAAAATTGGCCCTTTTTGGCCCCTTGCCCAGATTTCATGGGGGGATGGCCCCCTGCCCCCCCGCTACGCTTCCTACACCCCTGCCCAAAAACATGTCCGCTTGTGATCTCATAGAATCCAAAAAGGACAGGACATAGGCGGACATTGGCGGACATGTCACCCCCCCCCCCCCCCCCCCCCCCCAAATATAACGTTTTCTATAAGTATAAGTATATGATTATGAAACCGATCACACCCACACACCACAGCCTTTCGAATGTTACAGGTACGGACTTCAGAAAACCGAAAAAAAATTTTCGGCTCATAATAATCAGGGTAGCATGTAGCATAAAACATATAATAAACTAAAATAGTTTTCAGAAAAACTTTGAACAATTTTGACTCAGAAAGTCATCAAAACACAAAAGTGTTTGGTCCGAGTCATTCTCCATACGTACCTAGCTCTGAGTCTGAAGGCAGAGCTCCCGCTTCCGAGCTCGTACTACGAAGGGGAGGCTTACCTTGCGAGATCGCATTACGAGGTGAAACCGGATGATGATTAATCACTCTACAAGTACACTCAACCAACTGTCACGTGACTTTTTCAACCCGTTCTCAGTCTCTAGCTGGTTCTGAACGACTTTTCGAAATCCTAGCCCTCTAATCTGATCCGAACCCTAACTCTAACCCAATTTTTAACAAAAGCATACACTGAAACCCTAACCCTAACGAGAAATTAGACTATTAACTTCCTTATACGGTCATATCAAGTGATCGAGACAGTTTTTCGCTTGATTGACGATGTCAATCCGTCGAGATCGTTGCTCTGCGAAGCAGAGCAACGATCGACGACGATGACGACGACGATGCGAAGCAAGAATGCTAGTTCGCGCGGCGCGTCAAAGCGGCGAAGTCCTCCAAGTTTTTCGCCAATATCTCGTTAGGGGAGCATTTTAACCCTATGTCATGGGGGTGATTCGGAATCAGCGTCCGAAAATACAACGATTGAAGTTGGTTTCAACTGTCGGGGGCCCTATTAGTATTATAGCCATAGGTGCAGACTTTGAAAACCGAAAAAATATTTGAAAATGTTAGAAGCCTAAATAAAAAAGTTTGCCTTTTATTTTAGCCCCCTGTCCAGATTTTATGTTTTAAGCGTAATCCGTTAAAGTAACCAAGACTCAAGGCAAACTCAGTAGCCCTGTTCAAAGTGTTGATCGACGATGCGAAGCAAAAATGCTAGTTTGCGAAGCAAGAATGCTAATTCGCGCGGCGCGGCGAAGTCCTCCAATTCAAGGTGTCATGCTTGTTACTGCTTCTCAAATCAGTTAATGCGTGCATGTTTTATTATAGGGGGTGCACGATAAAATAAACTTGTTCGGATTTTTAAAATGTTTGTACCATTGTTTTCTAAAAACTGTTTAGAGGACTTTGACGCTTCGACGCGCCGCGCGAACTAGCATTCTTGCTTCGCAGAGTTGGAGGACTTCGCCGCTTCGACGCGCCGCGCAAACTAGCATTCTTGCTTCGCATCGATCGTCGAGCAACGATCTCGACGGATTGACATCGTCAATCAATTCGCAGAGCAACGATCTCGATGGGTTGACATCGTCTTAACGGGTGATACTCGTAAAATATCTGTTCCATATATTGGACCGTCGACGAGTCCAACTCGGCGCGCGTCCTGGTAGGTTGTAAACCTACAAACATCGTCAATCAATGATCAAGAGACTGTGAGAATTTTCACAGTACCAAATTTTTCATACTCTTTTAGAAAGATCAGTGAGTTTTGCCCAGGATAGGAGCCATAATCCATATTTGATGTTTGATGGTGCGTGGCTTTTGGAGCAAAAGTAGCTGTAAAACTAAAAGTCGCGTAATTTGACCAAATTCGTTGATTTTTGTCGTACTATTCTGATATATCTTCGGTTCCTTGATATGATATGAATGAGATCATTCTGAAAATTGGTGACGACCTTCCAATAGGGCTTTCACAACTGTCCGAAAAATTTGGTGGATATCGGAGTTGATAAAGTGATGAAAATGGGGCAAAATACGCTGTTTTTAGCTGTAACAAAATGTCTAATGGTTGGATATGCTTTAAATTTTTCGGACACTTTCCTTGTAAGTCTATGAGTAAGCTTACCAATTTTTGTTAAAATTGGATCAAGGGAAAGTTACTCAATAAGCATGTGTTTCAAGAATTTTGTGCTGGCCGAAATTAGCGCTAAAAAACCATCCTACAGTCGGCATGCAATGCGCGGCTCACTGTCGATGGTGCACTACTTAGTTTTAATATTAAGGGCCATCTAGTAGTACTAAAACTAAGAGTAAGGACGTCCGCCAAAATTGCAGATTTTCATACGTCACCCCGCCCCAGGGACAAAAGGAAATCGTTAACGGGCGACACTCGTAAATGGTAAAATATCTGTTCCATATATTGGACCGTCGACGAGTCCAACTCGGCGCGCGTCCTGGTAGGTTATCGACCTACAAGGAAATCGCGGCATGTACGGAATCGCGATTTTCCCCATTATTTGCGACAAATTTTATGTATAATTTAATGTATAGTCGGTTAAAATTCGCGGTATCGTGATTTTTGGCCAAAATAATCCTTTTGTCCCTGGTCACCCCCCTCCCCTGTCCGGGTACGGTGTGTCAGAATTAAAAAAAAACACCCTCCCTCCCCCGGACGTCCGGATTGTCGCCAGACTGGCTGGCAACATGAAGTATAAAAGGCAGTAGGAGAATATGCGAGTTGTGTCTCGGGTCTCATGAGCTGCTCTGGGAATCGACTTCTCGTTCAAAATAAAGGGATTTAAACTTATATATATTATTATTACAAAGTAATTAGTGTCAAAGAGTCGAAATAAATAAATAAATGGGACTTTTTCGTTAATTCTGCCCAAATTTCCGGACGTCCAGATTTTCAGAAACCCCCCAACCCCTGTCGGTGTCAGTGTCCAGATTTGTCTGAAATTCCAAAACCACCCCCTCCCTATTTGTCGGACGTCCTAAGTAGATGGCTCTTAAGCTCTCTAAGTCTAACGCCCGATCAATTTCCAATTAAATAGAATCAGGAGTCCGACAATGTAACTGTATGAGTGTAAGGATCTGGATAAGTGGTCGCCAACTGTTACTGTTAGTGTTAGTGTTAGTTGTTCAAGCTCAAGATCGATGATAGACTTCTCGATCTTCTGAAAATTGTAGCCATGCCATGTCACGATTACAGTCTTCCAGTTCCACTGAGGAATATACCGAATAGATACCGAGAAGAGTGATCAGGAATAGAAAAGAGGCTCTTGTAATTCAAACTGTACACAGTTTTCTTTGTCTGATATATAATAATAATATAAGCCTTTGTCTAATAGGCTCGTGAATGCGATTTCATACACATTTGTTTTCCAATCACTTACATTCCACTAATCCAACGAACATTTTAATATACTGGTTAACCCTAGGGTGTGTACAATCATGGGTATCTCCAAAAACTGGTTATCATTCGTAAACATGACAAAAGCTAAAGCTGATTCTCACTCCAAAGTGGCACAATAATGGGACAGCTCACATAACATTATGAGTCTATCTTTGATTGCGGTCTCTGCGATGACGACCCTCTCATGACCCTTCTTCCTATCACCCATTACGTAGCAGCCACTTTGGGAGCTATCACGACTTTAGTATCTGCTGTTGCTGGATCCTTGGCACCCAGCGCCCGTAGACAGCAGCATATGGAGTCAAGCAAAGGTTTCAGATCACTGATGTTGAAGATGGTCAGGGTTGGAACTGAAAGAGAATACGAGGAACTGTGGAGGGAATACAACAAAGAAATGGATACTGAACCCTTTCTGCCCCACAGGTACAAAGTAAAGGATAACGCAGACTTCGCTATGACACCTGAGTTTGATTTGATTGTGAAACAGAAAGAAAATGAGGTTGAGGAGATGTTTGAGAAGTTGGAGGGATTAGAAGCTGGGGGTGAGGGAGAACCTGAGGTTAAACTAGCACCACCCTACCCGGACCTCAACATGAAGTATCCGAGGAGGCAGATATAAACCAATCCGAGGATGAAAAAGATGCTTCTCCAAGTGTGAATCAGGACTTTTTATTTGTTATCTAAAACTTTCTGAGTTTATAGAATTTTTCTTAATTGTTATCTAAGAGACATTATGATTAACTTACAGTTCGATGAGTGCTCATTCCTAAAGAGTGTGATGTTGTTGACAGTTTTTACTGTTTATACAATCTGTGAGATTATTCAGAAACCACGATCGGTGAAGATGCCAGATGCTCGTTTATAGAATTCATTAATTACATTTTCTTGCCATTTCATTTTTATTTGGATTTTTAACAGCTCTTGAGCAATGAAACGAAATTCTTTCATACGAATGATAAATACTATCCCATTATCAATTGGATTATCTGTAAACATCATGATTAACATGTAAAAATAAACACCTTTTATGATGTATCTTCGTTGAAAGTGACTTATAAGTCACTATAAAAGTAAATAGCACAAATTAAATATTCAAATCTGTGTTCATGCACAATAAAATGCGAGACAAGTCTTGACTGAAATCTGACAAAGATTATACAAGGTTATAGTTAGTTATATGTTGAGATAGATTTTACCTTAAACTTCTATAAAAGTTAAACATTTGAAAATTATACCCAAATCTTCATGCATTTGAGTTACAAATCATGGTTTGATAATTAAAAACACATAAAATCAAGGTTAAACATTCGTTTCAATAATAATTTAATACAAATCGGGGCCGCGCTAAAACTTCAGTACAGAATTAGTCCCAGTCCTCAGATCAGTGTTTCTGAAAGCTAATGCAGCTAACAGGCTCAATCTTAGAGTCTCCCGCGTCTCCCCTGGTAGTATGACGTCATCACATACCATGTTGGACGAACAATCCCACGCGTCAAGTGATCTGACGTCATCACTTTCACCGTCATCACATGTTACTTTTGCTCCTGGCCACTGGTAACTCAAATCAGGTAATAGACCACCTCCACACTGAACGGTAGGTTTTATTGCAAAATTTCCATTTTCAAATAGAAATTGAGTATCTTTAACTATGTTTAAGTCTTTATATGAAATTATACAGTTTGTTGCACTAGAAGTTTCATTTCTCATTGTGGATTAAAACTTTTAATCTGTCCGTCTAAGTAAATTGGTAAATCCTCTATTTAACGATTATAATTTTAGAAGTGCTGCACGGTATTAAAATTTGAAATTACCATAGCAAGATAAGCGTGCCCTGCAGCATTCCCTGTAACCAGTGTTATCTTAGGTACGGTTGCTATGGCAACACTTCTCATCAAGGAAGCCAACTCTCGAGTATAGGAAGTTGTGACGTCACCTTGTATAAAGATGAGAGGAATATCTGTCTGTAAGAGAATGCGTAGTCAATTTATTTGGAAATTGAATTGCCGACTAAATTTTGAATGTGAGATTTTACTTTGGAAATAGAATTTAGAGCCCATATATTTTGAAAATATTTCTTGATCCGATTAATAGATGAAAAGATCACCTGTTGACAGATCTGGACGAAGTTTGAAGCTTTGAGAGCACCTTTCCCGTCAATTTCTCCTTCACCGGCTAGGATACCAACTTTCAACCTGTGAGTTTTCATTGAAACTTAAAGTAGAGAGGAAAATAGAAGATTTTGACGATACAAAGCTGCTTGACCAAGTGTTAGTCATGACTAATGTAGTACTAGTTTGTTATCATGTTAAAAAATTAACAGTACGGTTGGGTACTGATTTCTGAGCACGCCAGGGATCGTGCAATGTTGTTGACTGTTTTTATTGTTTATACAATATGTAAGATTATTCAGAAAGCACGATCATTGAAGATGCCATATGCTCGTTTATAGAATGTTAAAACGATGTTTTTGAAATCAACTTTGTTAGTTTCTTGTTGTCAACTTACCCTCCTAATTTAGCAAAAGCACACTGGATTCCATCACTTACCCTCCTAATTTAGCAAAAGCACACTGGATTCCAGCACCGAACTGTTCTTTGAATTTCAGTACATTTCCCTCGTCTGCGATGTCCGCAACAATCTGAGAAAGTTGCAATTATACGTTAAATGAACACGGAAAGAGATGATATGGTGGTACCGGTGAAATTGTATAACTACAAGCAAGCTTGTAATGATCTCACGGGTAGTTTAACTGGAGGTCTTGTTGAGCGGTGATTTTACTTAACGCTATGAGATAGCGGCTGGAGATTGCGAGGAAATAACTTACAGAAATTACTGTTTAGTTATTATTTATTATTATAAAGGGTCTCAATAAGAGGTCTCGACTGCCTAGGCGTCAAACCTTGGCAGTCGGTAGTTTTCCTCTGGCCCGGGATCAGCTGACCCTAGGGACCAGAGGGTAAAGGTGTAGAGACTATGTGTATCTACAAATCTTTCGAGGTTGTTTTTACGAGAGACAGGGCTTGCTACGCAAGGGAAGAAAACCGGGAGAAACAATCACAAATTATACAAATAAAAATTATAAAACCTAGCAAAAAGAAATTCAAACAATCCTACACTACTACAGATGTTTATTACATACTACAATGTAATACACGATAAATAAATGCTGTATAATCAAGAAACAGGGCTTGCAGGACAAGGGACGGAATACAGGAACTGGCTACAGAGTGTATAAAACAGTGATTCAGCAAGTACCCATTGGGTATTGCTGAATCTGACCCACAAATTATTTAATTTATTATTATTATTATTAAAAATGAGACGCTAAGTTCAAGATCATTTCGACAGGGTTAGGAAGGGCTTCAACGCGGTTAATTTTTAATTTCTGGGTAACTGAGTGAACTAGGAGTATCAACTAACGGGGTAAACATTGAAACTAACGGTAGTTCTTAACTACCAGGGATCGCGCTTGTCGTAAAAATTTAATATTAAGTAGGGGGGGGGGGGGGATCACCCTGATCTTTTTGTGGAATTTGATATCGAGATAGCGATTGACCAACAAACTAGGGCCTGTGACCAAACTTTTGAGGGGGTTCCAGACTCCGGGTGCCCACCGGACAGCCACGCCCATTTTTGGTCCCAATTATGCCAAATCATCTTAACATGCACAAAACCCAGATTTTGGGTGCTTTACTTGTAACTAGTGGTACCCTGAACTCGTATGTGAATTTTCAAAAAAAATTGGCGGGCATTTTTCAGAATTTGGCCGCCAAATTTTTTTGATGGCTTGACTCAAAATTCCACTCCAAAACATCATTATGCAATTCTACGTTGATTCTGAAAAACCATTGAAACCCTATTGAGTTCTATTGTTTTGAGCGATATCAGAACCCCCTCAAAATTTCGGTTACAGGCCCTAGTTTGTAAGTCAATTGCTATCTCGAAATCAAATTTCACAAAAAAATCAGGTCAACCCCCCCCCCCCCCCTAAGGTGGAAAACTACTGCTAGTTTCACTTGTTAATTGGTGTATCGTTAGTGCTGAACGTAATGGATATTTTCCCAGCGCAGAAGCATTTAAAAAAAATCATCCCGCGTGACACTGATTGCAGTTTAGTCCAACCCGAAGTCTAATTTAGTGTCTTTGCACGTGTTATGACATATGTTAATGTTATGTTGGTTGTACAGTTTAGTATATACTAGCAGGAAGACTCTAAAGACTAAAATAATTATTACCTATTTAATTCGCGTTTTTTACACCACTTGGGGGTCCAAATTTTGGGCACTAAAATTCTTATTCCTTGGCCAATTTTAATTTTTAATTTAACACATTTACTCGACATTTGTTGGTTGCGTGACAAAGAGAATTTATTCTAATCTAACTATAATAGTATAATTGCGGTCAATTTCACCAAGTATCAGTGTATTGAAACGATTAAAACCATGTCTCTATATGTCTGGAGTATAGAGACTTGACATTTGCACTTCAGAAAGATACCATTCAAACTTTCCATTTTCCAGTCTCCGTGGACGTTCCTTTATTTGACCGTTGACGTTTATTGACTATTGCCCGGTGTTCTAATTTGTATCAACTGATATGACAGTAATTGAATCTTAGTAAGCCTGACCGCTCATATTCCTTGTCACACTCGTCATCACACTACGTCACACTACGTCATTATAACTTAAGGAGGTGATATAATTATATTAACTTGCGAATAGTGTAATGTGATAAGCCAGTTACAGCAGCGGCTTAAGCGTAGTTAGCATTCTTTAGGATATTGTAATTTAGATTAGTGAAAAGACCGTTGGATTTAAGTGTAAGATTACGTAGGTAGATTAGCGTAGTAGATTATCGATGGTTTTGCGGAGTAAGACACGTGTTAGTCGGGTGTAATAGTTTAAGGATATTTATTGGCGAGATTGGTATCGCGCGTAAGACAATACCCGAAAGACAATCATTTGCAAAATTTGAGGAATCTAAAATTCAGCAAATAATTTTGAAATACAGCCACGCTAAATCAGGTGTCACAGAGTTAGAGCAACATTTGTTCCGATATAAATATTAGAGCAATGTCCCACGTGGCGTGGTTCCATGCCAGTACCAGCTCAAGAGATGAGGGATTTAGTGGCTGCAGATTGAGTTGGGAGTAATGAAGCTGGTTATGTAACTTAGTTATCAAACCAGGGATAATCCTGTGTTTCTCTTACCAGTGGGACAGTCTCACAGTCATCGGAACTTGTGAGAGTCGAGACATATTGTGTTTCTAACACATGTACAACCGCTATTATTGTACCGTATTTCAATTTGTATTTGTATTATTATATAGTTTTTTGCCCACTTATATGTTAGCTCACAGTGAATTTAGCTCTGTCTGGCTTATTAATTATTCATATAATTGTTCGACGTAAGTTTTTAGTCTGAAAAGATCACTGATAGGTACAGGAGATAAGAAATGCCTACCGACTTTACCGGAAAATGGAAACTCAGAGACTCTTATCTCTTCGAGGAATTCATGGCTGATTGCAGTGAGTATAGAAAATAGCATTTACTTGTTGTTTGTGGGTAATGTAGTAAGATACGTGACATCAAGCTGATTGGTTCGGAAGAGTCACGTGTCCGAACTTAAGTGTACTGAGTCCCAACCAATAACAAGCTACATTGTTTTAACTATTCAATGAGTATGCAACAGACTTCTCAAATTTTTAATAGTGTTTAACTTTAAAGCTGAAGGAGACAGCTGAAACATCTCAATTTTCAAAGTATAATAAATTATTGAAATTAGAATTTATATTATATTATTAGAATACATTCTCTGGTATAAACTCTTCAGGAACATTTTCTACCGATGAAATTTCTAGCCAATGCGCGGTTGACGGGTTATTCCTTGAGGAGAGTCATAACTGTAGAATGAAATCATTTGAAACAGGCTTGATGCGATCAGGATATTGGCACTTAGAAATTGGCTTACATAATAACATCACCAAGTGCTATAAAGCTATAACAAAACAAATACACCAGTACATTAGATACAATAGGATTGTAGGCAATCGTCACTGAACTAAATATCTTTGTTCCAATGAATTGTGATCTAAGATGTAATTTGTGATCTAAATTGAAATTTGAAACACAATATGTCCTTGAGTATAAATTAATCACATCACTATGCTTCATGCGGCGGTGACGATAATCCCTCACTTCCTCTACCCAGATCTCTTGTGTTTAGCTGCTCTATAGTCCGAGACGAAAGGGAAACTCGTCAGCTTTTTGTGTTAAAAGCGATTTCTCGACGGCTATCACCTCTCTATAATAATAATTTAATTTGTAAAGTTCGTAGATTCCTCTACAGGGTCATCGAATAGTTCGACCGCCCTTGTTTTACAGTACACTACATTGTAGATGTTCTGAAGGAGTATCCTAAGATTCTTGATCTTTTGGCACAGGCACCCCTCCTCATTTAACCCTCAATCAAGTTTCCTATCATTCGGCTGAGTCGACCGAGGAGATCGCATAGATCCAATGAATCCTTAGCTACTCCCTAGACTGAGTGACACTGGGATTAGAACCCTGAACCTTCTTTACAGAAGGCGGAAGCTCTAACCACTAGGCCACCCAGCCAATGATGCGTAAAACATTTGGCCAATATTGCATTTTTGTTATAAATGCAATTGGGGCGTTTTCGGCCACACCCTTTTTCAGGGTTACGTGGTCACTCGAATTTTTGTATTTCAGCCCAAGAACATCGTAGAGACTATTCCGATACCGGATACACCAAAATGTGCCTAATAGCCATATTTATATACAACTTATGAAGCAATATATATACCTTATAATGCTTATATATATGTATATTCACTATTTCATCGCATATTAAGCTATGTTGCTCATGAGTCTTTAGGACCTTTCTAGTTAACAGTCCAATAGCCCATTTGTGAGTATCGTCATTGTTCTTGGACTGAAATACAAAAATTCGAGTGACCGCGAAACCCTGAAAAAGGGTGTGGCCGAAAACGCCCCCATTGCATTTATTGCAAAAATCCAATAGTGACCAAATGTTTTACGCATCATCTAGAGAGGTGATATTGAAAAGCTAACGGGTGGCCTTTTAGAACGGTTGGGATCCGAATACTAGATCTATCCTAATAACATTTGTATCTCATGTTGAAATGTTGATTATATTGCCCAAAGTATTATTGTCCGTACGAGAGGTTTACCAGCACATGATCTGTTATTCATGAAAATTGGCTACATTTGGCAACATGTTTATAATTATAAATCACATTCAAATAGAACGCGAAGATTGGCGATATTTAAATTACACAAAATAATCTATTTCGTGTTCAAACTTTGCTAGTCTCGGCGTTTCCTTTGTATATCGCTCCAACTTGTAGTCGAGCACTTTGCATTGTAAAAGTCTTCAAATGAATATTATAAAATATTTTCAACATTTTTTAGCTGGCTTAATTTAATTGTGAAGTTTGTTCGAATAATTTCCTTCGTTTTATCTATTCCATATCAGTTTATCAGTAAAATGACTAATTTCGACGGAAATTGGAAATGGACTACTACAGATGGGGACTTCGACGGGTTTCTAAAGGACATAAGTAAGTACTGAGGGAGAAGTTGTAAGATATCCAGCAATTGGTAGAACCAGGGGATATGCGGGAAGGGTCCGGTTACTTGTCTGCTATCAATGGTAATCGCATGATTTTCAAAGGCTTCTGGAACAAAATCTTTATCATTTCAAGTATGTGTTTTCAGAGCCCCGTACCAGACAGGTCTTTACCGGGAATATTCTGATCTGCTGTAAATCAGCCAGTGTTCGCTTTAACATTTTCAGGCTTGCTGAGTTCGAATAACTTAATTATTAAAAAAAAATCAATTTGATATGGTTTTCAGTTTGGATAAGGGCTAGATACAAAACATGCTCAGTATCAAATTCCTGATGTCTACATAGCGACATTCGATACCAGTCCTATTTCCTGAAAACAGCGTTAGTCGGCAGAAAGTTTTGGAAACATGTGAAGATATTAACGTGGTTGATACGATTATGATAAAGATTTTGTTTAAAAGTTTTTTTAAAATCATGTGATTACCATCGTCTGATGAAAAAGCTGTCGGGCCACACCTAATTAAACATTATGCTAGAACCGGCAGTGCCAGGGTGCGGGTTTTTAAAATTTACATCTTGATAAACAGGGCGGTAAATATTTAATTTATCATACAGCAGCCAGTAAGATGCTGTTTCTGAAGAAGAGGGAGCTCTTATCGTTTTCTTATCTGAACTGTAATTTAGCAGGGACGTCGGTTAAATACCGTAAAAACTCCACGTAATCTTTCATATTCATGGTTTGAGGGATTTTGTTACATCATCCACCAATTAGACGCACGTATGTCGTATACGCGTTAAACGTGAACTCGCTCCTTTTAAATCAAACAGCTGTTCTATTGATTTGTGTATTATTATTACATGCTGCACATGTTGCAATCTTTCTAGTAATAAGTACACAAAACCACTGGTGACTAGGTGCTAGGTTCAGTACTCAGCAGCAGTGATTTTATTCAATTTTAAAGCCACCGCATTTTACGGCACAATGCTTCATGCTTTTGTTACTAGGCAATGAAGGTTGAGAAAAACTTTTATAGCATCAATTTTTCAGTTATCACTTATCAAAGTTCATATTTCTTCAAGTTCAATTAAATTTAATCAGTCCTGCACAGTAGTCGATAGTGGTTGAAAGTAGGCTGATCGGCGATTGATAGTTGATCTGAGTGGCTGGATTGGAACGTCTTTGATGTGCTGAATTGTTCCTGAATGTTGCAGTACGATCGAGTTACACGTCTTAAAGTTCACAGTACTGCCAATATGAGAGTAGTCTTTACCTAGCCCTGTTTTGTTTCTTAAAATCTGTGTTGTTTTCCCTTAAATATTAATTAATGATCTCAGTCGTTCTTTATTGTCGACGAGCACTGATCATGGAATATTTTCGGCACATGCATGGAATACAAGCCGTAGTAATAGTAGTAGTAAATGATAGCCCTGACTGTACCAGAGGAACTTGTCATTTTATCATGTATAGGGTCGAGGTGTCATATTATTGTAATATCGATATTATCGTATTAATTTTAACGTTGTTCGTATCCTGAACCTTCTGAGTGCGGTGAGCATTTAAATTTTGTCAAGATATTTTTGACAAAAATCACAGCTCCAGCTTTAAGATGACGAACTTTAATGGAAACTGGAAACTGCACAAATCTGAAAATTTTGAAGATTTTCTCAAATCCATAGGTTGGTACACTTCCCATGTCAGACAGATTTCCAGCGATTACTTCTTGTTTTTGTGAAAAGAACTAATTTAAGTTTTTGCACTTCAGTCTTAACAGTATTCTTATAAGAGCAATGGTGCTCATAAAATCAAATCATCCATTATTTTTTGTCGTCAAGATGTGCTCATATAAAATATCTCTCGGAATATTGCACTCAGCAATATACATTGAGAAAAATCAGGAAGAGAATCCTTAATACCCGCAAATTTAATTAGGGAAAATGGAACGGCTGCATACTTATGAAATCGATATGCAGTTCTAGTACATGACGTGGCTCGGGTTTCTTTTAATCAATTTTGAATTTTCTGAGTTAGGTACCACGCGGTCTGGCCCTTATAAAAAAAACCAGTAAATAACTAACTAAAGAGGTGCCACTGCCAATCGCTACTTATTCGACACCTTTTTAGTTTTCGCTACTTATCAGGAATCGGGAAATGGCATTTACATTTACGATCGCTTAGAGTATCCCCCGGTCCCCACCCATCGCTTAATTATCCCCTAATTTTATTCACCATGAAGAAATCTATTGCGAAAATATCAAAACACAATTTTCAGACGTGGGACTGTTGAAGAGACAAGCTGCTAAGATGGTCAGCTCAGAACATCACATCGTGCAGGATGGGGATAAGATGTCAGTCACTGTCGTAGCAACAGGTTAGTGTTCCATAGCTAAAACTATAATAATGATAAATGATAGTCATACTTATTACTTATGGGTGTGGGAAGTACAAGCTGCAGTAAGACTACTGTCAAAGTGAGCTGTCTCCAGTAGCAATGTTAGACTACTGTCAAAGTGAGCTGTCTCCAGTAGCAATGTTAGACTACTGTCAAAGTGAGCTTTCTCCAGTAGCAATGTTAGACTACTGTCAAAGTGAGCTGTCTCCAGTAGCAATGTAAGACTACTGTCAAAGTGAGCTGTCTCCAGTAGCAATGTTAGACTACTGTCAAAGTGAGCTGTCTCCAGTAGCAATGTTCGCACTAAGAGCCTGATTGTATTGTAGTTTATTAGATAAATAAAGGTATCCAGGAACATTCCTGTGCAATTAAAATTGAACCTAAATTGCTTCATTATTGAAAAATGATCCCAAAGCAGTATCTATTCATAAAAAACTTATAACGATGTTCATATTCAGGTCAGAAAGGAAAACAACAAGAGTACAGCGTGGGAGGGTCCTTCAGCGAGCAGGAAGTAACAGGAGATACAGCAGAGGTGAGCACATTTTACTTAAAACATTTCTTAGTTTTTTTGGATTTTAGTGACTCGTATCTCTTCTGTACGTTTACCTACAACAACGAGGTCTGATCTTCTTACAGCGTTCGATGTCTGTGTGAAGGTAAAATGGTTCACCGAACCTTGACTGCGGCTTTGTTAACAAGGTTTGGCCGGTAGAGGGTCCGCACTCCGTAGTAATCCCTTTACCTTACTATTACTCTACAACTACTACAGTTTATCTACAACACTCTAATATGTTAACGTATCGTAAGCTGCTGTATTGTAATCTGCGTGACCGCCAGGTCAGTACAGAGTGGGACGGGGCGCGGATCAAGGAGATACACAACGCGGGGGACTTTACTTACACCCTTCTCAGAGAGCTGCAAGACGAGAATACCATGGTCCTGGTGAGTTATTGTCACGTGACCTTATTATTATAGCAGGGGTGTTAACCTGGAGGGGGATTATTTAAAACATATATAAGTGATACGAAAAGTTTGTTTTAGCAGGAGCTTTCAAAATACATGTGTATTCGTCTTCAGCTTGTTAAGATTGTAGATCGTTTGCATTGTTTGACAAACATGTTAATTTTCTGTGGTGAATTTTTGAGATATTTTATAGCTGGTCAATGCTTTTCAATGATCCGAATGATATTAACAGTTTTAGGTTATATTAATTATTGGCTGAACAAAGATAATTTCAGCACCTGGAATCACCAAAGGGTACACAAGCTAAGAGAATCTACAAAAAGATGTAAAAGAATTTCGTCAGAATATTCCAACAATGACGAAAATATCACGTCGCTACATTTTGTTTCAAATCGGAACTTTAACAATAAAGTGGGGCTATAACCGAACTATTGTTTTGGGTGTATAGTAGTACTAGTGTTTATGGTATGAAAATGACGACATTTAGTAATCTACTAAGTTATGGTCGAATATGTAAATGATATTGTTTCCATGTACCATTGTCATATATTGAACCTAAAGAATTATGGTGAAGTGACAACTCCTATTGTTTTTCTTTTTCAACACCGAAAGAGACAAATCTAGTGCTACTTTGTCAAAGAACTTCGTGAAATAATAAAAGATTGGTCGTGTATAATTAGTATACATTAAAAATCAAATTCGATGTCGTCTTTTGTCAGATATCATATCCCTATATATGGTGGTCGCTAACAACAAGATATAATATATAAAGATTTAAGTAAAAGCTCACCTGAGACACATCAGAAGAAAAGGAACACTTTTCCTCCACCTTCTCGCTCCAACCCTCTGGAGCTGAAAAATGTGTATTACAGTGGGGTTGTGACTTGTGGAACTGAGAGAAAGAATATTGGGGTTATAGTTCAAACACTGAGCACCGTTCACGAGTCGGTTAGGGTCTGTCTGATCACAACTAGCGAGCTATTCTAGACTTAACAAGGTCAAAAGGAAATCGCGGCGCGTGCAGAATCGCAATTTTCCCATTCTCCAAGACAAATCGCGATTTTTGACGCTTGCCCGTTTGCCGAGACAAATCGCGATTTTCTTAGATCCTCGCGACAAATCGCGATTATTCCAGTTCTCTGAGGACCAAATTTGCGCATTCTCCTTTAAATCCGAAGGCCAAATATCACGTTCTTTATAATTATATGGAACCAATCAAATCCACAGCCTTCCGAATGTAGGTACGGACCGACAAATTATTTTCGGCTCATAATGATCAAGATAGCATGAGACATGAACGAAAGCAGTTTCCAGAAAACTTTGAAAATAATTTCGATTTATAAAAATTTCGGTTGAGTCATTCTCGATAGGTACAAGGAAAGTGCCTCAATATGTAAGTTACTCTCCTTGTTTCTATATAAACATAACTTTTATAATAATTCTTACGTAATAATTATAATAATTTTCTATTATCACTAGAAGCCACACAGACCTATTGACCCCCCGACAATTAACCCGACGACAATTGACCCCCGACCCTAACCCTAACCCTAACCCTAACCCTAACCCTAACCCTAACCCTAACCCTAACCCTAACCCTAACAGTAACCCTAACCCCCAGTGTAATTACAAAGGGGGTCAATTGTCGGGGGGTCAATTGTCGTACTAAGCCCTAGATTTCGCGACAATTGACCCCAGTGTAATTACATAGGGGTTAGGGTTAGGGTTAGGGTTAGGGTTAGGGTTAGGGTTAGGGTTAGGGTTAGGGTTAGGGTTAGGGTTAGGGGCCAATTGTCGGGGGGTCAATTGTCGCGGTACCCTAACAAGCTAGTTAACGAATTTATGACATCTAACTTAGCTCTGCAAATACATTACCTTTGATCGAATCACGTGTTTTGATACCAAAGCTAGAGACTAAGGGGTATTGACTATGGAGCACACTGCTTTTCATGGGTTTTATAGACTGACCATGAGTTCCTTTACTGTTTACACAAATTGTACTACTAGTCGTCTTAACTATAATTCTAAAGATCATCTTTTGTAGGGCCGAGGGCTCATTGTCCTAGTATAAAGCAGACACTCCTGATCACTATGTTCGACGTTCGTAGATATATTTCCTTTACCCTTAATCTTATGAGCTGTTGTATTGTCGGCATAGATTATCTTAACAATTGATCAATGTTCTCAAGGTTCCACATCTCATGATTCAATGTCACTTAATAAATTAACTCCTAACTAACCTTATTTCTAACACATTACACATTATTTTATTTCCTCTTCTTTGCCTTTGTTCATCTTCTCGCACAATTAGGGGTGAGTCTCGCACAATTAGGGGTGAGTCATCGTCTTGTGAATGTTTGCAGTTTTCCATACATTGATTAGGGTGTCTAGTGGTCATGTTTATGTCTAGTGTCAAGTTTTAGGGACGTTGTTGGCTAACAATGTAACGTCAGCAGACGAGTGGGTTAAGAAATGCTTGTGAAAGTGGATTCCTGGAAACCAATTGTTTTCCACAGTTTATGCTACCCTGATCATTATGAGCCTGACATATTTTTTTCGGTTTACATTACTGAAGTCCGTACCTTTTAGTAGTACCTACCTCTCGATATACGATTTTGGACTCGAGGGTTCCTCCTTGTAATTCGATCTCGGAATGCAGGCGGGAGCTCTGTCAGAGGTACATATCGAGAATTACTCGGACAGAAAATTCAGTCGAGATTTTCTGGAAACTACGTTTGTTCATGTTTCATGCTACCTTGATCATTATGAGCTTCTGCAGTCCGTACAACTACATACATTCGGAAGGCTGTGGATGTGATTGGTTCCATATACTTATAAAGAACGTGATATTTGGCCTGAAGATTTAAAGGAGAATGCGCAAATTTGTCGCGGAGAACTGAAATACCTTAGTTCCCAAAAATTTGTGTGCCATTATATTGAGCACAATTTATTTGAGCCCGAAAAATTTGGGCAGAAAATTTGAACTCATTTGGGCGACCGAAAATTTGGGCACAAATTCTTCGAAAAATGAACGATTTTCCACTAAAATGTCAGTTAGATATTTGCCTTACTTCATTATTATTCCTTATTATTCCAGTCATTTTGCTTTCAATATTAAGCATGTAGGTGGTAGTCTCAGTTGTTTCACATTATGAAATTTACGATCTGCCCAGTAACTACTAAAAAATACAGTGATGATGGCACCAGGCACAGTACAAAATGATAGATATACAATAGTGATATTTAGTCTCTCAATCAGATAGTTTAGTCTACTTACACTCAGCATATCTTATCATACCCCTTTCACATACAATTATCATTATGACGCCTCAACAGATGGTCGAAAGGTTTGGAAGAAAATTAGAAGGTTTACATCATGATCTATCAAACTAAGCGGCACATACGCTTAGCTTTGGGGGAAACAAAGGTGTACATAATTGTGTGTAGCGAACTATTGTAAACCCGGACCAAAGGTCTTGAAGTCTAATTCCAGTTATTTCTATTCATTTAAAATATAAGCCTTTTTACCTGGTCAAGCCATGAATGACAGATTAGAAAACTAAAATTTCAAATATTATTTCACTTGGATATGAAGAAAAAGCCATCTTTCTATAGATTTCAGGGCCACAGGCCAAATGCCAAAAGTTTGGTTAGCAAAAAATTTAGCAGACAGAAAAGATTTATGCAATTAATTTGGTCTGCAAAAAATTTGGGCGAGAGGCCCGCTCAAATTTTTGGTCGCCCCAAACCGTGATTTGTCGCGAGGATCTGAGAAAATCGCGATTTGTCGCTACAAACGTCAAAAATCGCGATTTGTCGCGGAGAATGGGAAAACCGCAATTCCGCACGTGCTGCGATTTCCTTTTGTCCTTGCTCTAGAGGACTAGAGAGGCTCTGTCAGCGTAGCAGCCGCTTTAACGTGCTCCTATTTAGCAGGGGTTCTTATTAAGCAGGGGTTCCTATTTGGCAACCGTAATTTTATAGGACAGGTGGTTTATCAGGGACGATACCCGATAAGTTAGGTAATCGATTATTCTAATTTAATTGTAGTCTAATTGATGATTCTTTCATGAAAATTCCTGATTGTTTCTTCTTATACTCAGTGATGACGATATTTATTATAACATCGTCATCATTTTCTTGAAAGAGTAATCATTTACGTAATGGATTTGGGTCTGTGATATAATACAAAGTGAAGTAATTGAGATATCTATTTCGTCATGGCATGCAAGCAAGATATCATTATACCTAATTAGAGCTAGACCCTGTCAAGGAGCGGCTCAATCATGACGTGGACAAATCATTAACCCGAAACTCTTGATCAGATCTGTTGGTTGTACTTGTGTTTGTAAACGCTTTTAAACTTTTGTTGTGTTTTTAGACCAAAATGATGCAAAACTCAAAAGTGACGGCTGTCCTTTTTAACAGTTACTATCAGTGAACACATTACACATTAACACATTACACATTACACACGTTCTACTGGGAATTTTTGATCTTGTCTGCTTTCATTTCCAATATCTGCCATACCGGGATCAGAACCCAACAAAATTAAAATTTTTGGATCGCTAGCTTACTATGATTTTTTACCCAGAGTGTAGTACCCACCTGTCACCTGTGTATAAATAATTAATCCGGTTTAACTCACCAGAGTGCCTTTTAGTTGTTATCTTTAGTAATTGCATAGGTATTGACAACCCATTAATTTAATAAGTGTATCATGCTCTCTCTTCTCTCTCTCTCTTTTCTCTCTCTCTCTCTTTTCTCTCTCTCTCTCTTCTCTCTCTCTCTCTCTCTCTCTCTCTCTCTCTCTCTCTCTCTCTCTCTCTCTCTCTCTCTCTCTCTCTCTCTCTCTCTCTCTCTCTCTCTCTCTCTCTCTCTCTCTCTCTCTCTCTCTCTCTCTCTCTCTCTCTCTATCTATCTATCTCTCTGTCTCTCTGTCCGTCTCTCTTTGTCTCTGTCTCTCTCTGTCTCTCATCTCTACATCATACGGCATACACACTAACTTAGATGTGGGATTGATTATTAATTTAAATGTTATTAATAAAGTAATAATGATTTGTTCAATCTATTCGCTTGTTTAGGTCAGCTCAACACTAACTTTTAGTGATCATTCGTCTGAATCAGCTCCTAACTCTTAGTTAGTTATTAGTATTACATCTATACTAATAATCCCAATAAATGTGTTGGGCGTGTACTGTGTACGTGGCGGGCCGGGTATCCAATGGTGAAAATGGTGAAAAATGGTGAATTATTTTTATGGTGAATCGGGTTTCCAAATTGTAAAATTTCACCAATTTTTCGATGAGCACTCTAAAACAATATTTTGGTTATTAACTCAGATTTTGAGTATAAAAAGAAACATTTAAACATGTGTTTCATTATATTTAAAGAAAGTCTAGGTTTTAAAATTCGGAAACTCGATTCACCAAAACTATCAATCACCATTTTTCTTCAAAACTAGCGAACATGGTGAGAAAGGTACATTGAAACTGGTAACTTTAAGTGAAAATGGCGAGAAAGATACATTGAAACTGGTAACATTTTTTAACATTGGTAACATTTAGTGAACACGACGAAAAAGGTACATTGATACTGGTAACTTTTGGTGAACTTGGCGAGTAAGGTACATCAAAACTAGTAACTTTTATTAAACTTGGCGAGTAAGATACATCAAAACTAGTAACTTTTGGTGATCATGGAGAGTGACAATGGACAATCTTATTTAACCCTCACAAACGATTTCTCGAGCATTCGGCTGAGTAGACCGGGGGGCTGCATAGGTCCATCGGAACCCTTAGCAGAACGGCAACGCCGCTCACCCCATGGCTAGTGGCACTGGCGGGGATCGAACCCGCAACCTCGTATTTGAGCAGCATATCACGTTTAAGACAGGTCGACTAACGAACTGCGCCACTAAGCCATTTACCATCAAGCATATAATTCGGCTGAATATAAATACGTTGCCGGTCAAGATGATCATTGGTCGGTGTTTTTGATCCGATGGTTCATAATTAATCTTTTGTGTGAATAGTTAAACTTAAAGGATCACAACGACATTCGTTTCTTTATTAACTGTTGCTGTGTTACTATTAATGTTTATGTACGTGTTTCTGAAAGGCTTAATCGAAAACAACATGAGATAAGTGGAAAACGAATGAACGAATAGTTCATCGATTGAGATCGGAGATTTCAAAATTCTTAAATTCTTTGATATTTAATCAGAGGTCAGAATAACTTAAAATTTCCGGCAAGATCCGGTAGCCTGAAATTTCCTCTTTTAAACACCCGGTTCGGAAAAATCCGGCAAACCGGAATTAGATTGATATCCGGCCATTTCTGGTCCAGCAGCCTAAACCTCGGTCTGTTCCTAGTTAGGCAAAATTGAACAGGGATTTTTCGATAATTCTCGCGGCGGTAATGTTGTTTAATCTGAGCAGTATTCCGCAGAATGCTTAAATACAGCAACAATTGCAGCTAATGGCCCCTTTGTTTAAGGCCCAAAAATGTTTATTCTGTGATTTGAAATTCTCAAAAAATTGCTAAATTCAAACTTGAGAGCGGCCTTTTCTGCTCGTAAACAGGGTCGTATACAATTTTGTGCGCTCAAAAATCCTATCATTATTATTATCAACAGGATCATACACAGTACAAATATAATCTAGGTCGTGGTAAAAACATCTTCTGCTTCACACCGTAAACTGTGCAAAAAACAAAAGATTTCTCCAACATTGTCTAAAAATCCTATTAGTAAGTATTACATGAAGTATAAGTTTTACTGTCGATTGATTATCCTTAAAGCGGGGGCCATTGTGCATACCGCCTGTTTGTCTCCACAATCCAGTGCAATTGCACTTGCTTCCATCCAAAGTAATGTATCATTATTATACGCGGGAACAATTGTGCCTTCGCGGTGGTTTATACGCCTTAGTTGATACTTTGCTACCGATGGATTGATAGCAGATCTTAGAATTCAATCCAACGGTCCGTGTCCCCAGAAACTTCCCTAATCTGAATAGTGTCTCGAAACATGAAGACGAAGTGCTATTTAGTATCCAACTCAGTACCAAATCTTTGTATTTTAACGATATAAAAAGCGAGAATAAGTAGTTTGAATTTGAAAAGCAGTTTATAAACCAGTTTTCCGGTCGTCAGATCGGCTAAAATGCGCATAATTAGAGAAACCTTTTTTACGAATGTATTCACAGATGGTCCCATAAATTTCTATTCTTGCCCCGACTAAGCTCGTTTAAATTTGTCTTAGCAGTATTATACTGTGTATGTGTCGTAAATATTTTAAAATATGTTAACGGTATTTACATTTTTATCATTATTATATATATTTTATCACTATCATATATTATAAGCACATTATTTCATTTCATTTCATTTCATAAACAATTATTGATTATAAAGATCGTATACGGTATAACACATTAAACTGAATGAAATACTAATAATCACATTATAAGACGATGATCTCTTAATGTCAGGACGTACGACAACGAAACATACACATGACGACGCTAAATATAGTTTTAGGTTTGCAGGATCAGTTACACCCCACAATAGGATCCTTTTTACTGGTATATTTTCCTTGTCTTCAAGAGCTTCTGACGTTTTTTTAGCCACAGTGCCGTCACTGTGCGTTTACTGTATTTTTACAACAATATGTAATGTAGTTGTATTTATGTTTTCGGCTATTTCTGCATGCTATAAAGAAATTTACAATCTATTTTACATTTGCGAGTGTTTAATTATAGTATCCGTATTTTTCATTCGTAGCTAAGGTGTAGTGTTGCCAGATCTCAAATTTTCTTAAGTTGCAGAGTTTTATATTTTCATGGGATGACAAGTCCCTATACTATCGCAGCCTGCCAGTTTATAATATAAAGGTAATGTTCAGTGTTAACTTGTGTGAGCACTGATGTGGAACCATTATCAATAAGAGTGGAGAGTTTTAGGTTTTGTGTGAACTGATACACAGTGAGGGTTGAGCCCTCAGCCTGCTTGTTTTAACCATTAATCTAAACCTCTCCCTCATGCTATGTATTATTGTACACGTGACAGCGGTTAGCCAATCAGCTTCTAGTATTGTCCATTGACCAATTAAAACTTGACTAATCACTGTCACACGTCCGTCATACTTATAGGGTCCAACCTTTAGCTCATTAGTTGAAACCGTTCATACTTTTTAATGTAACTTTTTTCCTTGATTAGCTGATATTCTTTCGTGATATTCCCTTTTCAACAATTAATGTTGTCTGATCGAAAAGACAATAAAGCTTTACTGGATGTTAACGACCGGGATTAGGTGACGTCGCTGTTAATCTGTTAGCTATTTGTTTCGTGAACTTTTTGTAAATACGTATAAAAACTATAATAGGCTTGGTTGCGAAGGCGTGCAGTAAAATATAAGAATCTAGACCAATAGTATGAAGATTATCATATGCATATATTATCATAATATGATATTATAAGTACTTGCACTCAAATTTAAAGAACACAAAGGGAACGAGTATCTTCAATTTTACGAATGCATTATGTTATAATATGTCCGCTTAATATCGATGCAATCCTCAAAAGTGGGAATATATTTCAGTAAATGTGTTCTTCCCCAACTTTTAGTAAAGCACTTATTACATGCCGGTGTCACACCATTGCCAACTTCAATCATCTCTAAGCTGTAACTATAGAAACTGTAGGTTTACAAAACCTTACCTTATTTTTCATTTTCTCAAAACACATTTTGCGTTTGATAGGCCTCTCCAACATTTTCCGCTTTATTAATTTGAAAACTTCCTATACTGCCTCAGTGATGACAGTGCCTCTAATTGTGGTAGAGGAAGATGGGGTAGAGGAAGATGGGGTTATACCACCTCGCACGCAGCATAACGATCAGATAACAATCAGTCCTTTGCTTCTGAACTTATTTGTCGAAGAAAATGGTAAATGTATTATGGTTCACGAAGTCTTGAATCAGCTGAAGGGAAATGGTATCAGACCCTTTGCCGACATCAGACTTGAGGAGATGATGAACAGATTGTCGGTTGATCCTGAAGGACTGAAAATATCGAGCCTTATAGGCGTGAAGAAAACTGTGTCAGTCGAGGAGTTCAAGGAAGCTAGTCGCAGCTGTGCCCTTCTTCTCAACAAAACTCTAAGCTCAAAACTGGTTATTCCAGATTTTCAGGAGTTTCAAGGTGAGATTCAGAAGATTTGGGAGGATTTAAAGACAGTTCGAGGAGGGAAGAATGCGGATTATATACCCCAGCTGTCCAGAGTAAACCCAAACTACTTGGGGATATCAGTTTGCACTGTGGACGGTCAGAGATGCTCTTTCGGTGATACCTATATACCCTTCTGTATTCAGTCGTGTAGCATGGCACTGAACTATGCTATCAATGTATCAGAGCACGGTCCAGAATTTGTTCACAAGTACTTGGGCAAGGAGCCCAGTGGAGTTGGATATAATCAGATCGGACTAGACAAGAATGGGCTACCTCACAATCCTATGATAAACTCAGGGGCTATTAGTTGCTGTAGTGTAATGAAGAAAGATAAGAGTATAGCAGACAGGTTTGATTTTGCTACCGAGGAGTATAAGAAAATGGCGGGCGAAGAATTCATTGGGTTCAATAATGCCACATTTTTATCAGAGAAGGCTGAGGCAGACAGGAACTTTGCTATTGGATATTATCTCAAAGAGCACGGAGTGTTCCCGGACAACACTAGTCTAACAGGAACTCTAGATCTATACTTCCAGCTATGTTCTGTAGAGGCCACAACAGACTCAGCTGCTGTTATCTCTGCTACTCTCGCTAACGGGGGGGTTTGTCCCACCACTAAGGTAGAGTGTGTCACGGCGGACGCTGTGAGGAACACCCTGTCCCTAATGTACTCCTGTGGAATATACGACTACTCGGGAGAATGGGCCTTTGATGTTGGGATCCCTGCCAAGTCGGGGGTTGCTGGGTGTATCTTTATAGTGGTACCTGGGTTGATGGGCATTTGTGTGTGGAGTCCGCCATTAGATGAGCTTGGTAATAGCTACCGAGGCATCCTGTTCGCCAAGAAACTGATTGAGAAGTTTGCGTTTCACCAGTTTGACACGGTCCTAGAAAACGCCAATAAGATAGACCCCAGACTGAAGCACAGGATGGAGACGAAAGAGATGCAGATCAACAACATGTTGGGTGCTGCTAGCAACAATGACATGGTCCTCCTCATGAGGTACTTTGGGCTCGGGGTCGACTTCAACATGCCCGACTACGACAACAGAACAGCTCTCCACCTAGCTGCGAGTAACGGTCATCTTAACGTTGTCAAGTTCCTGGTGCAGAGGGGTAAGGTGGATGTTAACTTCCTTGACAGGTGGCAGGGCACTGCTCTTGATGACGCCATCAGAGAGGAGCATGAGGATATTTGTAAATATTTGAAAGGTAAGGGGTGTCAGAGAGGGGAGGATCTTTTACAGAAAGCAATGAGGCAGTTTTGATAGAGCTGAAGCCCAATTTTCGAGTTCAAGTCATGCGCTCATCAGATTTCATCTGTTATAAGGCTCGTTTTTTGGTTAATGGTCAATACTCAATACGCATTTCTTATCCATTGCATGGAATATAGTATGTAGCTTGGGTTTTTTTAAACAAAATGAGTATCATAAACAATTAATCAATTGATTCAAATAAAGTCTTGAATTAAAAAGTAAAGACAATACACTTTCATGAAAATTGGGTTTTTCTTTGTATTGTCCTGTAATGAACGGCATGAAAACATGATAATCTTTTTAACTTACAATTATTCTTTTGTATGTACATTTTACCGAATTCTAGTCGATTCATGTTAATTTCTGTCTATGTCAATGGGCGATTTTATTTTTATGTTAAGTTTATGATTTATGAGTATGTAATGATAAACATAAATTTGTTTCCATACTATTGCCGAAGGCAAAAATATCGTTTGATATATGAGGTGGCCCGACGGCGCTACGTTGACGACAAAAGTCTGCTTGCTCGCAATATAGACCACACGCTTATAATTATGTGTATCTAGAAGGAGTATATTTTGCGCAAGTTATGTGTTAATTAATTACACGCATAGCAACCAGTTTTTGGTGGTTGAAAACTGTTACACCATGCACACAACTCAACACCGGTTTTAAATAGATTCCAGGAGTATAACGTATTAGTCACCAATGTAAGTATTATTTTAGTGAAACTAATTACCCGGTGCTTAAGTTAAGCTGTCAAAAAATTCCATTATAACATCAGGCATCAACTGATAAATTTAGCAATGGCTGATTAGTAATAACTTTTTAAGTATGGCACTAAGAATAAAAAATTGAAAAAGATCGTACTATGACACTCGTATATCCATTGCTATCAAATCGGAGCATGACGTCAAGCTCCTCCAAGAAGATCTGCAAAATGTCATTGACTGGTCTGAAAGAAATAATATGGCCCTTCACAAAGACAAATTTGAGTACATGTGTCATAAATTCAACCACCAATATGTGCTATCTGAACTTCCATTTGTGGTTGAACACTATCAATACTCAGTTTCCAAAGACACTACACTTGAGCCAATACATCAGCTCAGGGATTTAGGCGTCATAGTGTCAAGTGATCTCTCTTGGTCCCCTCACATACGAGCCATTGCAGATAAAGCTCGCCAAAAAGCATCATGGGTTCTCAGTGTATTTCACACACGATCTCACTCCATCATGCTGACGCTATACAAATCAATGGTTCGAAGTCTGATTGAATATTGCTGTCCATTATCATTATGGCATCCCTCAAAAATCAGCGATATCCAAGAACTGGGTTCTCAGTGTATTTCACACACGATCTCACTCCATCATGCTGACGCTATACAAATCAATGGTTCGAAGTCTGATTGAATATTGCTGTCCATTATCATTATGGCATCCCTCAAAAATCAGCGATATCCAAGAACTGGAGAGTGTACAGAAAGCATTCACCGCCAGAATATCAGGAATGCGCGATCTCCACTACTGGGATCGCCTGGTCTATCTATCTCTGATGTCTCTTCAACGAAGGCGGGAGCGATTCATCATTCACCATATGTGGAAAATCCTCCACGGAAAGACCAGCAATGATCTGAACGTTCTATTTGTTTCACGCCCAAGGCTTGGAAACCTTGAAGTAATTCCATCAAAACGTAGAACCAGTTCAACAGCAAACCTCACCTTGTTTGACAACTCATTTGCAGTTCAGGGACCTAAATTGTGGAATGCAATCCCTTACCATCTGAATGTCATTCAAGATCTAGAGCACTTCAAAGATAAGCTCACAAAGTTCATGTTGTCTCTCCCTGATAAGCCGCCGATCAGGGGATATACTCCTCCAAATACGAACTCTCTGCTGTGTTGGCGCAACGAGCGAGACTCTACTTCGGTATGGGGTGGTCAGAAGATGTGATGGCCCCGTCAAGTCTTGACGAAACTCAACATAGGTCACATAGGTAGGTTACTATGTATTTACGTTTAGGAAGCAAATAAGATTGCGGCAAGGTCCGGATGGTGCCGTGAGAGTGTCGAGTAATTAGCATCAAAATTTATAAGTGAATGTTACAAATAATATTTAAGATGAAACAGAATAACAGTCGATAAAGCTGGCATCAGGCATACGATACAATAATATGAAGTGACATTCTGCACGCTTATGGCTTAAAACAAACACGCGATTGTCACCTGCGTCACACTTTCTACTTAAAACAATAACTGCTCAAGTGCTCACTGGCACAACTACATTGTAGAGAAAATTGATCGTACGTGGTGTTACCGCGGCGAAATTCTTGTTTAACAGGATTATTGTTTGACAGAAATTATTTTTCTTCGACTAACGCTAATATTACATGTTTCGCCATACGTAATCAATAAAAATGCATTATCTTACCTGGAAAGAGTTTTGAGTGCAAATGTACAATGTCTCTGACAGTCTTGATGGCCTCATCGTAGTCATTAACGAAGTAGTCTGTACTTCCAGAAACTCGACAATGGAGATCAGCTCCTCCCAGTTCCTCGGCGGTCACCTCTTCTCCAGTTGCTGCCTGAATTATAAATAAAAATCTAATAACAAAATCTACTGATATGAACGATTATTTCTTATGTAAAAATAGTAAGGAAAAACAATACAGATACAAGAGGACCACGCGACGCAATTAGAGACTAGAAAGATATGCCATGTTGATAATAATATTAATGGCATCCGTAAAACTCAAAGTGAAAGTGAAAGTGTTTGAAAATTAACCTTAACAAGTGGGGGTCCAGCGAGGTAGAGACTACCAATATCCTTCATTATTACACAGTGAGATGGCATGACAGAGGAGTAGGCGGCTCCAGCTGTACAGGAGCCACATACCAGAGATATCTTTAGGGGATATTATCTAGTTTAGCCACATAACTTCGGTGGTGTGATTTATTTGTGGTTATTAAATAGTCAAATTATAAATTGTACATCTTGACGGGAAATGGCGAACAATTTGAATCACCATTGTGGAGGAATGTAGCGAAAATGGCAAAGATCGACATATTTAAGATAAATGGTGAACGGTAATTACACCTTTCAATATTGACACTCCCAATCCAACTATATACAATATACATTATACATACTATGTATAAATTAAAGCACAAACCTGAGGGAGACCCCTAGCAGCCATCACAGCTTGTCTGTAGAATGATTTGCCACCTTCGATGAATATATTAGCCTGGGAAATCAGTGGTAAGCTACAATTTGTAACTAGATTTCCCTTATTTCATGTTTTAGATTTTCCAAATTTTTAAACAATCTTAATGGGACGACTGAATGCATATGAAATCTAGAGAAATATTCTATTATAGAATGTCTTGAAAACAGAAACCGTTAATAGAAATGCCATTTTCACCCAAAATAGTGACTTAGTAAAAACAATGGTGCAAATATACCGACCTGATTTTATGTTTTACCGTTACGTATCCACCACGGAAAAATATATTTCCATGCACGACGGAAATGTTGCAGTCTGTCTCCAGATTTCGGTAGGCATATTGTGGAAACAATTATTGTGTCTCCGACATTTTGGATGCTAGTGTCTATGTATCTCAGTATGCGCTATGATTTTCAAAAAACGGTTGGCGGTACTGCATATTGCTTATGAATATATTATGTTGTAATAAGAGATGCAGGTAGAGAATTGACCATTATTTTTGCGACGGCTTGTACTTGATTTTGGTGATCCCAGACATGAATTAATAACGGTCAAATATAAATACGACGGTAAAAACCCTCAAGTTTGTAAAATTTATCCATAGTTAAAATGAATTCGTTGGCTACATAACAACGTATATCAGGTGTTAATAAATTCCCAGAATTCTGTTAATTTCTTCCACCTAGGAGTAAATATCATAGCGTTATTTGGAATTGTAACGACACCAGATAAAATAAAAGTAACAAATCTACATGTTCATGTTCAGATAATGTGGAACATAAAATACATACCTGCTCAGGAAGGTAGGCACCTCCACTGTCTACCACAAACAGACAGGGTAAGTTAAACTTGTCAGCAATGTCCTGCATACGAAGCTGTTTCTTCAGGGTGATGGGAAACACTGTTCCTCCTGGAATATTCGGGAATACAAGACTCTAAATAGCAGTAACACAACATCCTGCCATACATTCATCACACATTTTACTTGTATAACTATACATGTTCACAATAGAGCATAATATGTATTTACAGTAGAATTTAAAACAGTAAATTTCAACACGACGAATCTTAACATGGTGGTTCCTAACCTTTAACAGTAGCATCACTAGCCATGACCAGGGTCAACACACCCCCAATCACCCCCACTCCTCCAACACTCCCTGCACAAGGCACATCTCCATACCTCAGATCCAACCCTGCTTGTCGTCCCCATTCCAAGAAGGGGGTACCTGGGTCTAGGAGTCTTTGTAGTTTCTCACGTACAGGCAGCTTTTTGTTTTTGATCACGTGACGCTGAGTGGCCTTCTCTCCTCCTCCTGCTTTACACTGTTCCCACCTGCAATTAACTGTGAGTGCGAAATGTGCGAGTGGTGAGGGGATAGCTAGTAAGGGACGAGACATCAGAGAGAGGCTATCAGTTAGTGTACAGTGTAGGGGAGGAATTTGTGAAGAGTACATCCGTACTGGATAACAATACAAAGTGAAGTCAGTGAAATTAAATAATGAAATTATTTAATTTCATTATTTCTGAATAGGGAAATTATTTAGCGCCAGAGCATCATTTCTATTTTCTATCGCTCGTGTGCGAGATCTAACCATGAGCCTTACCTTTTGTTCCATGTGGAAGTAAGAGATTCCTGAGTAGAGTTAGCCTTGGATAAGACGGATGATCCCCGAAATTTAGAAAACACTTCCTTTCTACATAATTTTCTGTACATCCTGTAGTTTGAGATATTAAGGGTTAATATGGGATAACTTTCATTAAAATAATATATATGTAACGCGATGGAAGTATCTTAAGCGGGCATATCTTGTCCAAACCCAGGATGCACGACATAAAGAATTTGTTTTATCTTGTTTGCATGAAAAGCATTAATAGAATTCTTGATCTGTAAACGACAGTAAAGTGGGTAAGTTAGAAAAACATTTGGTGAAACAATTATTCTGTTTTTAATAATTAATTACCATTGAAACCTACCGATAACATACTTTTAACTATAACCATGAACAATAACCAAATAATTATGAAATATAAAATTGTAATACACAAAACTAAAACCAATGCTAACTAATATTAAAATAAATAAATAATGCTACCAAATCGTACAATCCCTAAAATTCAAAATAAAATTATATTTTACTCAGTTTCTACTTAATTGTTACCCGTTTCGTTTACCAGTTTCGACGGGACTGGTAGGGTATCTGTTAATCCCTCTGTCGTTAAAGTCAGTTTCAACTGATTTTGACCCATTATTGGATGGCATCCCCGATCTCACAATCATATCGTCTAAAACTAATAGCCTCCAATTTGAAACACTCCGGATACTGATAGGAGTTAATTTAGAGGTTTACTAGCTGTAACGATAGCACATGGCTGAGTCCACGTGTACACACACTTCATGTCTAGTTCCATAAGAGCTTCCTCCTTTATCATATCAGTCACGTGAACATATCCCTCCTCCAACGTCAGTCCCAAACTCTTTATCAAATTGTTCACTGGAGAAAACGTCATAACAACGTCGATGTAATCTCTAAGAGACCAGGATGTCCGGATATCGAACATGTAGTCCCTCCGGGTGGGGTAAGGTAAAACGAGATTCTTGTAGTTCTCTTCTAACATTTGCACCTTGTCTGGCATGCCGTACTGAGCGATCACGTTGTCAATGCATTCCGAGGCACTGTGCATACTGCTGGTATCCACACATCTTGGTAAGTTAATTGACACTAGACCAACTATTCCTCCGGGCTTCAGAACTCGATCTACCTAAAATATAAAATAGGATACGAAAACCGTATGCCAAGTTGTGTATCAGGTCAAGGACCAAGGTAACAGCGAATACCATGCAAGGGGATTCTTGAACTGACTCTGATTTTGGGCTGAGCAAGAAGCTCAGTTTATTTCTAAATCTTACAGTGAGGCATCATCTCTCAAGACACTGACCCCCTTGTTACGGGGAGTTCCCACAAATTTCACAAGTTCTAAATTTAAAGTTGCCTTAAGAGACAATTTCGCATGAGAAGGTTGGATATTTTCGCCCATTCCGAATGTCAAATATAACTGATAATCAATTAAAACTAAAGAAACAAATATTGTTGAGATAAAAAGGCTGGAAAGTATTATGAAGTACTCAATCTCATTGAAAGTCAAATTTAACAAGTTAAAAACAACGCTTTTGTTTAAGGAATTCACTAACTTCTCAGAAGCTTAATATTAGGACTTAAAATGTAAAAGTTCCTTTAAAGGTTTGAATCCAGTTGGCCCACGGTTACATAATTGATAAGTTGTTTTGGTCAGATATAAATGAAAATACTAAATTAAAACTAAACTCAATCGCAATTGCCCAAATTTACCCCATTCCAAAAACTTCAGTCACTAAGATTTACTAGCTGTAACCAGAGCACACGGGTGAGACCACGTGTACACAGACTTCATGTCTAGTTCCGTCATACCTCTCTCCTTCATCAATTCAGTCACGTGATCATATCCCTCTTCCATCGACAATCCCAGATGCTTTATCATGTTGTTCACCGGAGAGGACGTCAAACATTCGTCCAGGTAATCTTAAGAGACCAGGAGGTCTGAATATCGAACATGTGATCCTTCCGATTTGGGTAAGGTAGGGCGAGATTCTTGTAGTTCTCTTGTACATGTCTTACTTTCTTTGGCAAACCGTATTGGGTGATAACATCCCAGATGCATGTCGAGGCATTGTGCATACTGCTGGAATCTACACATGTTGGTAAGTTAATACACACGAGTCCAACTATACCTCCAGGTTTTAGAACTCGATCTACCTGAAATATAGGATAGGATACAGCAAACAACTGTGTTCACCAAATTGTGGCTCTGAGGATGTAGCAGGTTTTATAACAGTGAATATTATGCAAGAAGAGTCCTGACCTCTGACTTACAGCTTGACAGGAAGCTTGTTTAACAATTAAATCTTAAAGTGGAGGCCGTCTATTCGCAGAAGATATGGACATATAGCATTCCGGGGATAGTTTGCTGCCATGATATAAGTTCTGAAACCCTGACTACAGAGAATAAGGAGACAAGGGTAGGAGATGGGAAATCCTATCACGGGTTCAGAACATGAGGAGACACAATACTTTTGATAAATCTATGAAGATAAAACTGCCTCAAGAGACAGGCTGCATGAGACAGGCTGCATGAAAATTTCAGATTTTGGCAAGAATATAGTATATTTTACTGAGAGTCAATTTAAACTAAATGAACGTATACATATTGTTCAAATGAAAGAAAAATGATGAATTGCACAATTTTATTAAAATTCAGAAGGTAATAATTCATAATAACATAATTTAATGGTTTTGGTTGAAGCCTTGTTCCTCAGGAATAAGCTAAATACAGGTTTTGTAAATGAACTATTTGAAATTAATAGATGTAAATTGTAAATGACCTCACGACTGCCCAAATTTACCACATGCCAAAAACTTGAGAGTTACTAAGATTTACTAGCTGTAACCAGAGCACACGGTGAGACCACGTGTACACAGACTTCATGTCTAGTTCCGTCATACCTCTCTCCTTCATCAATTCAGTCACGTGATCATATCCTTCCTCCACCGACAATCCCAGACTCTTTATCATGTTGTTCACCGGAGACCATGTCATGATAACGTCCAGGAAATCTCTAAGAGACCAGGAGGTCCGGATATCGAACATGTGATCTCTCCGGGTGGGGTAAGGTAGGACAAGATCCTTGTAGTTATCTTGTAACATTTGCACCTTGTCTGGCATACCGTACTGAGCTATCAAATCCCACATGCATTTTGAGGCCATTTTCATGCTGATGGAATCTACACATTTTGGTCCGTTAATACACACGAGTCCAACTATTCCTCCTGGTTTTAAAACTCGATCTACCTGAAATATAAGATAGGATACGAAAAATAACCGTGTTCCCCAAATTGTGACTCTTGAGAGTGTAGCAGATTAAGGTAACAGCGAATGTGGTGCAAAATGAGTCCTGCTCTGACTCTGACCTTAGCCGGAAGCTTAGGTGACATTTAATTTTAAATTAGTGGCCTTTACTTATTTTGACGCAGCTTAAGGGGACATATACAAAAAGCTTTTATGTCCCGAACAGGCTGTAACTTCATATTAAGAAAGTATACATTAAAACAATAAGATTTGATACATTAAAAATTATTTTTGAGGAACCGCACTTCCGAAAAAATAAATATTTTCTTTTTCGAAAATTTTGAAAATGTTGAGAAGTCTGTCACTGTTATACCGATATTTCAGTCGTTCTTAACGTTTTTTGGCTGATTTTTTTACTGAACATTACTGACACTCCGTACAAGAAGCCCTTCAAAGGATTTTATAATTAAAATATAGATGACGAAGTTACAGACCAAACAATGTCGAGAGAAGCAAAATTGAAATTTTTGTAAAAATCAAAGTTGTATATTTTACCATTCACCCAGGTCATAAGATATCGCTTTAAAAATTCTTGTGAGTGTAGCTGATGATCATATCCAACTTTATGGAACATGATTTCTCTCAGTTTTGAGTTTTAAGGTATGAAATGTGGCCTAAACGACTTAGTAAAATTCATCGTAAAAAAGGGCCAAACATGGCAGATTTAAGGCTTAAAATGCCTATAACTCAAAAAGTATCAGTTTTTTTGAAATAATTTTTACAGAATCGTAATCAGCTTGAGAAGACGAATCTTTTAGTACCAAATAGGTGATTTTAGAAGACAAATTGTCTTAAATAATTTTCCAGCTCGAACACAAGGGTCCCCCCTTGTATAAATGTTGTACAAATTGTACACATTTTTTACAAATTTTGTGTCTTTAACTATTATAAATTTGGTACTAAAAGATTCGTCTTACCAAGCTGATTACGATCCTGTAAAAATTATTTCAAAAAAAACTGATACTTTTTGAGTTATAGGCATTTTAAGCCTTAAATCTGCCATGTTTGGCCCTTTTTTACGATGAATTTTACTAAGTCGTTTAGGCCACATTTCATACCTTAAAACTCAAAACTGAGAGAAATCATGTTCCATAAAGTTGGATATGATCATCAGCTACACTCACAAGAATTTTTAAAGCGATATCTTATGACCTGGGTGAATGGTAAAATATACAACTTTGATTTTTACAAAAATTTCAATTTTGCTTCTCTCGACATTGTTTGGTCTGTAACTTCGTCATCTATATTTTAATTATAAAATCCTTTGAAGGGCTTCTTGTACGGAGTGTCAGTAATGTTCAGTAAAAAAATCGGCCAAAAAACGTTAAAAACGACTGAAATATCGGTATAACAGTGACAGACTTCTCAAAATTTTCAAAATTTTCGAAAAAGAAAATATTTATTTTTTCGGAAGTGCGGTTCCTCAAAAATAATTTTTAATGTATCAAATCTTATTGTTTTAATGTATACTTTCTTAATATGAAGTTACAGCCTGTTCGGGACATAAAAGCTTTTTGTATATGTCCCCTTAAGATAGAGTTTTAAATCGCTTGGAAAGGTATGAAACACGGTTTCCAATCTTTGCTTCAGGTTCAAAGATAATTTATAATAAACAGCGGGATGAAATAGTTCAGGGATATAATTTGTCACATCTCAATCTTTGACAGCGGACACCATGGTACAATTGTACCCTAGCACATGATCCATGGTTCTATCCTCCTCAGTAGCCCGGTTCATAAAACAAAAATATTATCCAATAATTACGGCGATAGGCTTATCTGTTGTTCCTTAGGCCAAATAACTACCAAAAAAATTTTGAAGCTTCAACTTCAACCGGAAACACCCCCACATGCCACGCCCATTTTTTTCATCAATTTTTAACAGGTAAAAATCTTCATATCATCAATTTAGGCATGAAGGAGTGCTTTTAGTGCTCCAACAATTTGGGGTCTAATAGTAATGGTAGAAAAAGGTTAACTTTAGTCAAAGTCTCAAGTCTCCACGGCGCTTGGTTTAGGCGCACCGGATCTCGCGTCTCCGCCTCCGCTGCGTGATTGGTGGCGCCAGAACTAAAGGTCGTAGAGACATGAGACTTCAACTAAAGTTAACCTTTTCCTACCATTTATATTAGAGTAGCACAGATTCAGAGCTCTAAACACATTCCTTCATCCTTAAAACGACAATCATATGAATTTTGCCTGTAAAAGTTGATATCTTGATGTCAATTAACATCGTAAGCTTTTAAAACTAAAATTAATTAAATGAGTCATAATACTTCACACAATATTTACACACAATATGAAAATATAAATACAGGAAGTCTCTTGGATTCGACATTGAACTTTTCTCGGTCCCTGCACTGGAAAGTGGAACTGATCCTTTAAAGAAGTCAGCAGGTTCTGATTTAGGTACCCTGGTTTTCGGATCGCCAAGTCTTCACAAGCAAGCTGTCTAATCTTCGTTGCCAAAAGGAATTTTGTTGCCAGAGGAATATTTTCGTCAAACTAGGATTTAAATGAGGTCTTTATTTCTTTATAACTCGTCACCGATAGGATCAGCATTGATGAGGTCCAATAATTCCTTCATAGCTCGTCACTGACAGGATCATTATCAATGAGATCCAATGATTCCTTCATAGCTCGTCAGTCGTCACTGACAGGGTCACCGATCACTATTAATAAGGTCTGATGATTTCTTCGTAAATAACGAGGTACAGAAATCTCTTACTGATACGTCAAGACAAAGTTAAGTAAATAACTATAAATATCCAAGCATTAGCTAACAAAGTAGCATCTGGTTCTAATTCCTTTACCAAGTTATCAGTAATGGATCTAACATCTAAATGAATCTCTTCTGTAAACTGAATTTCTTGAAGCTGAAGGACTGATTCCCTCTCCAAGATGGGGGAATACTTGTTAAATTCTTGTAGGATTCATGAAGAGGGGAAATTCTCCACGGTATCTAAGAGGGGAAATTCTCCACGCCATAGATGGCATATTCCCAATACTCGACCAGCTCGTTCTCGACAGTGACTGCTCATTCATAAACATTAGTCTCCGGAATGCGACTTCATTGTAAGAGAGCTTGGAAGAGGGCAAATTCCCCCAGTAATGTTTATTTTCACTAGTATTGTAATGCAAGAAATTTTGCAACACAATGCAACCAACGAAGTTTCAACTGAAAAGGTTCATATAATATGATTGTTGGATTATTAATAAAAGACTGTTCTAGTGTTCTTACCTCTGACAGTTCCAGGGTGTGGAGACGTGGAATCCAAAAGACTTCCTGTATTTATATTTTCATATTGTGTGTAAATATTGTGTGAAGTATTATGACTCATTTAATTAATTTTAGTTTTAAAAGCTTACGATGTTAATTGACATCAAGATATCAACTTTTACAGGCAAAATTCATATGATTGTCGTTTTAAGGATGAAGGAATGTGTTTAGAGCTCTGAATCTGTGCTACTCTAATATAAATGGTAGGAAAAGGTTAACTTTAGTTGAAGTCTCATGTCTCTACGACCTTTAGTTCTGGCGCCACCAATCACGCAGCGGAGGCGGAGACGCGAGATCTGGTGCGCCTAAACCAAGCGCCGTGGAGACTTGAGATTTTGACTAAAGTTAACCTTTTTCTACCATTACTATTAGACCCCAAACTGTTGGAGCACTAAAAGCACTCCTTCATGCCTAAATTGATGATATGAAGATTTTTACCTGTTAAAAATTGATGAAAAAAATGGGCGTGGCATGTGGGGGTGTTTCCGGTTGGAGTTGAAGCTTCAAAATTTTTTTGGTAGTTATTTGGCCTAAGGAACAACAGATAAGCCTATCGCCGTAATTATTGGATAAATTTTTGTTTTATGAACCGGGCTACTCCTCAGTCATGAACCCAGCCATCTCCTGATCCAGGACATGGACTCCTTGTTCCAGGGTTATCTCCCTCTCATCGCACAAGTTCTGGAAGCCAGACCAGGTGGATAAGATGTCGAGAAGAGAAGGGTAGGAGATAGGGAGTCCTATCTGGAGAGAGTGCTGGTGGTGCTGGGTGAAGGGGAGGGTGATGTTGGAGTACTTGGTGGAGAAGTAGTGGCTGCGGGAATCAGGGAAGTAAGGACGGAGGTAGGTGTGGTTGATGTGGTCGAGAGCGGAGGTGAGGGTGGGCGAAGTGGGGAAGTGAGGGTCGGGGTAACAGATCAAACTCACAACTCCCTTGCTCTTTAGGGTCCTACCCACCTGAATTCAGCACCGTTATTCACCAATATCATGCGGTATTCATTGAACATGCGAATCAAGGATGATAATGTTAATTTACCTCTTTGAAGAACGCCGGTAGGTCGAAGTAGTGTGCTGCTTGGACAGCTGTTATCACATCAACAGAGCAGTCTTCAGCAGGCAACTTCTCACACGAACCCTAATTTAAGAGGAAAATTGTATATAATTTCATTGGACCTGTAATCACATCAATACTTCGAACAAATCTTTCAATGAAATGAAATAAGATATCATGATATAAGACTGGATAGCATTGTTTCTCGAACAACAAACCTGAACAAAAGATAAAGAAGGATGTTGGAACGTTTTGTTGGCGACTGCTACTTGTGTGTCACTTACATCAATCCCTACTAATTTGTCAGTGTGACCAATAATCCTAAAAGTTTTGAATTTTCATAAGTCACATAACCAGAACACATTGGTCCAAAAATTATCAGAATTCGCCTTAGGAAATGATTTGGAAAAGCTTCTGATCTAATTTATATACAATAGTTATGTGTAATCTAAGGAGAGGAGGCTAAGAGGGGGACTTACTGTTGAGTACTGGTACCAGGTCCACATCCTACATCAAGCCAGACTTCCGGTCTTCTTCCGAGCAGTTCCACAATAGTTTTAACATGTTCCACTGGTAACTTAGGACGGTATTTGACGTATCTCTCTGATAGGTCGCTTCCAACGAACAATTCTTTCTGAAAGTTGATCATAAAACAGTGTATCAATCCAATCTATCAATCGATTAGTCGACCTTAAATTATGTATTGCTAAAGGTCAACAATTAAGAATTTATTTCAGAAAATTGTGTATCTTACCGGGTCTATTTTACTTCCGGGTGTAATGGTAGACATTGTTCTAGCTGCGTTGTTAGCAACGAAACCGACCGTTCGAGACATCGACTAGCTATAATAACACAATTTATTCGTCAATTAACAAATAACTCAATAAATGTATGGTAAAAATTGGCCAAAAAGTGGTTACTTAATGTGAACGACACCCAATATACTCAAGATTTTCACATTTGAGATTACCTGCCTACTATCAGAGTTCTGAGATTAAATTTGGATGGTAACCGTGTAATGTGAAGGTGCTGTCTTCATCAGTAGATACTAAGAGGACCGATGGAGCAGTGTTATAATGTTGATTAGTGATCAAGAAGAGCATAATTGTTCAAATGGAGTGAAAGTTTAATTAGACGAGTCTTTAAATTAATCGGTTTTTAATATGTCGACCCATACAGACTAGTATTTAAAGCTTAAGATGAAAGATCAGCTATGCCAAAAGGCATACAAGATACTGTCTCTTTGAGTGAACTACACATCAAGATATTATTATGTGATATCAGACGATCGTAACCTCTCTTTGATACGTATCAGGCCGTAATCTACTAGACATGTTGGAAGGATAAATATAAAATCCTACATAATAGTCAATATATTGGACTTGCAACTTTGTAAGGGTTAGATTATGCACTTAATAAATTAGATACAGTAATAATTAAATATAACGAACACGCGTGCGCGCGTTAATATCAATATCTTAAGTTCCGCGCGTTACAAAAACGTGTCGGTAGTGAGACTTCTGGTTTGTTACGTGATGTCTCCTCCCCGTATTTGGTGGAAACCCAAGTATCAACATTTTCCCAAATAAAATATGTTTAATAAAGCTCAGATTACTACGAATGTCGATGATGAAACTAATAAGTCCCGAAATCAAAGTTAAACAGGAATAAAAAAATCGACAAGCTATACTACTGAACGAATCAATAATTTAACCACAAAAATACACACTATCAAATCAAGAATAATGACATAAACATTAAACATCGTCACCACTTTTAAAAACATTATTCCTAATTTCTACATTATCAGAACTGAGAACATTTCGCAGCCTTCGTCATTAAAGACATATTGTAAACCGAATAAAAAATCTAGGTTTTGTGAAGTTCAATTTCTTGTTTTCGCCACCTAAGTTTCATTAAAAGATATAGTTTATCTTTGCAGAAAACCCTTTTTAAAAGGAATCCCGATTAAAGACTATCACAAACAAGAAAGACAAAAAGTTAAAGGAAGCAATGGGAGAATAGCGAGTAACCACGCCCCTAAAACTCCAAATAGTCCAATTCTTTGAACTTCTGCATCAAATCTTGTTTTCAGATTAACAATTAAAATAACTGCTTCATGTAAGATTTCTTGTTCGCGGAACTGCAACCTGAAAGTTTTATACGATTAGAACAATCGTTTACATTTTTAGTCTTATCAAATAACGGAGTAGTTCGCTGTTTATTAGTCTCATGATTGAAATACTGATAATTGGATAATATCCGGTTGGAAGAGACAAGGACAAGTGAAACAACTTCCTTGTTTCACTTGTCCAACCGGATATTATCCAACAATCAGTATTTTTAGTCTTAACATGACAAATGTTGAGGTTTACAGCTTAATACAGGTATTAACTATTAAAACTGACACAATATGTTACTGTGGTAATAGAGCTACGGCCAATTAGCAGTTGGTTTCATTATATCATATTCCCTAATTTCATATTATACTCTTTTATACAGAATAAAAGACGTAAAACAAGAGGCAGGTAGAAACAAGAGGCAGGTAGAAACGTTTTACCGAATTAGTAATCTGATATCTTCTGACGTTTAAATATTATTTCCAAGATAACGTGGGCGATTTTGCATTCATGTCAGGAGTAACAACCCGCACGTTTTACTTCCACTGCAACATACGTTAAAAAATACCACAAACATTGCTCCCCCGACTTTAACATGAAGCGGAACTAAAATATAACAACGTGAACTTGACGACATCCTCACCTTTTTATTCTGCAACGGGCAGTTTTCTTCAAGTAGTCATTCTCAGTGGTAACAATATGTGCGGTACAAATTCATTATTTCCTTAATATTCTGAATACCATGATACATTGCGGCATTTTACTTTATTACTGGATCATGTTTATAACGTAGACCATATTACAGACTTCTTCCCTAGTATAACTATCAGCTGGTTACTTTTCTTTTTCTAGATCTTCCCTTCTTCATTTGTTTTCTTCCTATTCAATAACATTCGTTTTAGTTATGGTGAACTGCAATCAAATGAGTGTTTAAATAACATTTTAAAGAGTGTAATATGGTTTATGGTTTTACAAACCATGTGGGGAGTATTCTAATTTTTATGGTTGTTTATTTGGGAAACAAACATTTCGATTTATCTAATTATTCGACAAATTTCTAATTAGACTAACAGATCGTTACGAAATTCAATTTCAAATGATAACAGCAGATAAATTCAAAAGCAAGAACTGTTAAATGTTTAACCTAAACTTCTGAAACTGCTCTCTTTTCCCGAGCATTTTTTAATTCGAATACTACGTATAATTTACAACTTCGAATTCAAATAATAATATCAAATAAAAATCACTAGAGAGTAAGTGTTTTATTATATCTCTTGTTAAGGTTTTAGCATCACAGTAAGTGACTGAGTAAGTTTGTTATGTATATTTGATTATATTACAAAAAATCTATCTGAAAGTAACATTTAACTATACTAGTAGAATATAATAAGCATAATTGTATTATGTTAACTATATAATAAACAAGTTTAAACGAAATCAAAATCGAGGAGTGAGGACCCAGATTTAAAGATTTAAGAACCATTATACTAGAATTATGATAGCGAGCTAAATTCTATTAAGAGATAAATATATTCGATCTACTCCAACTTTCATATATTTACCACCTACTTTTACCCAAATTCTAGTCAAGGTAAAAATATCATACGACATAACATTCATCCCTCTCGTTGGATTCCTCTTTTTTTGGGTCAAGACAAACTCTTCAAAACACAAAGATAACAATCAGAATCACGGCAACCACCAAAATAAAAGGTAACCAAGTCTTCAAAAATCCACCGAATCTGAAATTTTGAAAATGTTAGTGACGATACATATAATGGATCTATCCTTGTATCTATCTTATGAGGTCGAAATGAAATCATTGATCCAGCGTTAATTAGAGAGGTTATGATACTTTATTTGAAGTTCAGCACCTAAATTTTTCCAAAACTCAAGTATACGATTATCAATCTGAGTCTATAAATTACCCAGTATATTTTCCGTAAATGAGCAGATAGATAGCAATGTGAACCATATTCCAGTTACTTTTCCCATCGTACTTCATCAGGTTCATAGCGTATGCTACATGCGAGTGACAGTTGTCACAACATATATTGTGCTGGGAATAATACAATTTCTTAATTATCAACACTTTATAATTTATCATAGACTGTCATGATACATCTATTACATGTTCTAGAGTTCTGGTAAGAACAAAGTTCCAAAGTTCTGATGAAAGCAAGTGGAATGCTCACCATCCTGTTGCGATACTCCTGAGAAGCCTTTGTCACAGCCTCATCCCACTCCACGTCTCCCACCTTACTAAGATCTAACTGCCAGTACTTAGTGGTGTCACCAAAGGCCATGTTGTCCACAGTGACGGTGTAGGGACCCGCAAAGTCGTTGATAACACCCTCTGTAGTGCAGATACCAGTGTGCCCGATCAGGGGGAACAGCCAGCTGAAGAGAGAGAGAGGTTGGTAATTTGGTGGCAAAGAAGAAGGGGGGAGGGGGGGGGGGGGGGGTGCGAGGGTTGTAATGTGGTGGTAAAGAAGAAGGGGGGAGGGGTGGTGCGAGGGTTGTAATGTGGTGGTAAAGGATAATATCATACTGTTCGTCTACATATACCAGTATTTCTACGCTGTTAAGTGTTAATTTTACAACTGATTGAGGAGTGACCGGCATGACTTGTGTACCTGAGAAGGGAAAGTACTTGTGTACCTGAGGAGGGAAAGTACTTGTGTACCTGAGAAGGGAAAGTACTTGTGTACCTGAGGAGGGAAAGTACTTGTGTACCTGAGAAGGGAAAGTACTTGTGTACCTGAGGAGGGAAAGTACTTGTGTACCTGAGAAGGGAAAGTACTTGTGTACCTGAGTAGGGAAAGTACTTGTGTACCTGAGAAGGGAAAGTACTTGTGTACCTGAGAAGGGAAAGTACTTGTGTACCTGAGGAGGGAAAGTACTTGTGTACCTGAGAAGGGAAAGTACTTGTGTACCTGAGGAGGGAAAGTACTTGTGTACCTGAGAAGGGAAAGTACTTGTGTACCTGAGGAGGGAAAGTACTTGTGTACCTGAGAAGGGAAAGTACTTGTGTACCTGAGGAGGGAAAGTACTTGTGTACCTGAGGAGGGAAAGTACTTGTGTACCTGAGGAGGGAAAGTACTTGTGTACCTGAGGAGGGAAAGTACTTGTGTACCTGAGAAGGGAAAGTACTTGTGTACCTGAGGAGGGGGAGCGGAGTCCAGACCACAGCATGAGGGAACCTCTGTCTGTCAGTGTCAACATCATGTGGGAGCAGGGCGGGGTCATCTGCCATCACTCTATTGTATCGTACCATTCACTGCTATTATAATTGTGTCCGCTCTGTTATCTTCCGATTTTTTCTCGCTCACATCCGCTAATAGTGAACTACATGATTATTATTTTTGGGATGTTTTATTGCTTCATAAATTATGCAAGAATGAAGCAACTTATCATTATGATTATTATAGAGGTTAATTTTGGTTAATTGTTGAATAGCAATGCTTTAACTCTCTTAAATAGCTTCATGGATTGCTTCACGAACACCACACCATTCAATGGGTATAATGTTTGCAAGAAAAATGACTCAAAGATTAAACTACTGTTTCATCGATCATGTACAACATCGTTTGACAAAAAAATTGTTAAAAAAAAAACATTTAAAAGAACAGTTTACAGTGAAAGAATCAATTAAAAATCATTTAAAAACCATCCAAAAATATAATCAGCCGATCCAAAACATTGTTTGAGAAAGAATTATTTTTGAAAATCATTTAAAAGAATCATTCTTAAATTTGATCCTTCGAACAGCTGTTGAGCAATGAAACGCCAACATAATCTTAGCAAAATGAATATATTTCTTTTATCTTCAGCATTTAATCAGTCACATAATCTGAGAACATCAATGGTTAGTTTGAAAATGTCAAAAATTCTCATCAAAAATGTAGTAAAGTCTCAAAAAATTAATTTAGCATCTCGTCAAAATGGAATAGTTTAAAATCGGAACAAAATTAATGGCATATACTATAATAATGTGGAGTCTGCAGTAGTTCATTAAATCAAAAAGACGCAATTCAAAAATTGATAGACTGCATATATAAACAAAAAATGGACGAATTAAAAATAAAATTCGGGACACCATGAAAAATTAGCTTCCAGAAATGGAATTCACATTGTTCAGGCCATACGGATAAAGTGTCTTCAATTTGTTAATATAAAACTGTTCTGACTTTCTAATATTATCTGGGGATGTAGAACACAAAATATCAAAATGGAAACTTTCATTGAAATCAGATCTCTCCCTCAAATTATGAACTGAAAAAAGATGTGCCCCTAAAACATTCTCGTCATCAAAATCTCTTTGGGTCTCCACATTCCCCTTACTACTCGCCTCTAAAATCTCATAATATTTACTGCGATGACCATTCACACGTTGGCTGAGGCTGGTGACTGTTTTTCCCACGTATACGTTATTAACAGTACAAAGTTTGCACGTCGCGCCGTACACAATTACCACCTTGAGTTCTGACTGAGCGTCCATTATTGGAGACCATGGAATTGCCACTAACAAGGTGACAAGTTTGGCAGGGTCTGCCTTTCTTCTTCTCACCAGGTTTGGTGCATGGATCAGTTGTTCTTGACTCTGAACCTAAGGCAAGCTTTTTTCTCTTGAATAAATTGTCCTTTAAGTTAGGGGCTCGCCTGGTCACCACTTGGAGTTTAGGGATCCTCTCAGGGTTCTCACTGCTCCATGTACGGCTATTTGAGATGATGTTACTGGCCTCTTTAGCCTTTTCCTTGGTTTCCTCATAGCCCGCACCGAATGTAACAATCCATGGTGTGAAAGAAGGGGGACCCTGGTCCTTTGCCTTGTACTGTAAAGTTCTTGGTATCGATCTGACATCACTGATGACCTCTCTCACCATATCAGTAGGATATGAAGACCGCTAAAAAAACAACTGAAGCTCTGCCAATCTCTCATCCAGCAAGACGTCATCATTGATTATCCTTCTGTATCGAAGTGCCTGTGAGAAGACTATACTCCGGAAGGTATGTCGTGGATGGAAACTTGAGAATTCAAGATACCTGTTGGCGTCAGTAGGTTTCCTAAACAGATCTGTTGTGAGTCTCCCTCCAACAAACTTGTACTGAATGTCCAGGAACTGAGTGAACTCCGTGATTGGTTTCACTTCGTATGTAATATCTAAGCCATAGTTATCAACCATCTTACTGTGTAATGACCCTACCCATTCTTCAAAACCAATCATAGAACCTCTCCACATACCTTGGCCCGAAATATCATCCACAAACCGATCAAGGTTCTTGAGCTCCTCTGGTCTAACAACCGGGTCGTAAACCAGACTCTTTAGGACAAAGAACAAAGCAATGTTACCGCAATCCACTGAATTGATACCTCCAGTGGGTACACCGTTAACGACCTCATACCAGTTGTCTGCATTCTTCAAGACTGCCGAATCAAAACTAAGCTGTATCAGTCCCTTCAGCCAAGTCCTGAACTCCTCAGACCAATCTGGTCTACACGACTCCATAGCATCATCTAAGGCTGACATCACCAAGCTATGTTGCAGAGAATCGTATAGAGAAACAATATCAATACTGAAGCTGATCCAAGTATCGACTAATTGTCAATTCCTCGAGTTTTATGAGAGCTGCAGTTGAATCTTTAACAAGATCTATACAGTAATCCCTGGCAAGAGGTCCCAACCACTTCCAAACAACAAACTTATCTGATCTTGCAGTTACTCCTCTAGAGAGATCAGTCACGAATCGACTGGGTGGAATCTTTTTCTCTCTAATTTCAGTCTCAGTCAGCTTGTGAATTTTCAGTATGGGTAACCATACGGAATATCGGGCTTGACTAGATCTGAAGTGCTCTGCGAAAGAGTGTCCCGATCAGACTTCTGAATCAAACCAACCACACACTTAGACTGTTCACCACTTACATACTTCCGCTCCAAACCAGATGACCACAGCTCTAACAACCTCCCTCTCAAAGATCCAGTAGGATCAGTTTGCAAAGGTCTGTATCTCAAAGGGTCCTCAACTTTGGCAGAAGTGATATCCTTGATTATCTGAGGGGTGACAATGATTATCGCACCGCCCTTATCAGCCGATGTTATGGCTATTAAGCCATCCTTGACAGCCTTCTTCAACCACATATACCCTTCACTCTCATAGCGGTTCATATTAGATTCAAGTTTTCTGGGCTTGAAGTTGTCTACAAAATTGACAATGTTGTCTTATGCAGACTTGATGGCTGGGTCTTCAAAAGAAGTACAAGGAGCTGTTACTGGTTTCTTCAGTAGCTCCATAGGAACTTCGTTATCCCGTGCTGAGTTCTTAAAAACAGCTTTCCATCATGTACAGTAAAATAATCATTTACAGTAAAAGAATCATTTACAGTAAAAGAATCATTTACAGTAAAAGAATCATTTACAGTAAAAGAATCATTTACAATAAAAGAATCATTTACAGTAAAAGAATCATTGGTTGAATTGGACTGAATGGATGTATAAATGTTTATGGTTTTTGAGTTAGATGATATCAGTTCCCCTCGTTTGGAACGTACCCTTGCTGAGCGGTTTATGACCTTTCTGATGAAATTTAAGACTTGATCTTTGAGCAGCTGCATTTAAAGAACAATCTGGACATTTGAACGGTTTCTCCCCTGTGTGAGTTTTGAGATGAGTTTTAAGGGATGATTTTTGAGTAGCTCCATATGAACAATCTGGACATTTGAAAGGTTTCTCTCCAGTATGGGATTTCTGATGACCTTTGAGGGATGATTTTTTAGTACCTGCATAGGGGCAATCTGGACATTTGAACGGTTTCTCCCCTGTGTGAGTTTTGAGATGAGTATTGAGGCATGATTTTTGAGTAGCTGAATAGGGGCAATCTGGACATTTGAACGGTCTCTCCCCAGTGTGAACTCTGATGGATGATTTTGTAGCAGCTGCATAAGAACATTGTGGACATTTGAACGGTTTCTCCAATGTGTGAATGTTAAGATCCCTGGAGAGATGAGGTTTTCTCTCACTTTTATGAGTGCATTGATATCCTCAGAGGATGCATTTATATTACTATTGAATTTAGAAAGTTCCTTGTTGGCATCAGAACTACTTTGAGGTTCATTAATTGCTATTTCTCGAGAATCATAGTCAATTTGGTGCTCCCTGATAATATGTTCAATAAATGTGTTTTCCCCCAAACATGTCTCACCACAATCAGGACAAAGAAACTCCATATTGTTGTCCTGAGCTTCCCCCTCTTCTGTCTTCATCTCTATTTTAAAATCATCATGATCATGTTCAACAAAATGAACATTTTCTAATCTAGAGTTATTGTTTTCATTTCTAGAAACCTCAATAGATTCTTTCGAGAATCTATCTTCCAATTCCCGTTTTGGGGATTTAGCGTTATGGTGACGGTTCCTGACATGCTCAATAAAATAATTTTTACTGATAAAGTGATAATTTGTTCGCTACAGGTCGGACATACAAAGACATCAGTCCTACTTCTCAACTCTTCTTTCTTCACTTCGACTTTTATGTAATCAAATTCCATGTCCACTTCTTCGACTTTAGCTAGTACAGAATTAACCACTTTCTCCATTATGAGTACAATTGTTGATTCGTAACTCTGTCTACATACCTGAAGATAGGAAAATAAATATATTTTGAGTAGGATTGTAGGGATTTAATTTGCATATTTTGGCAATCTTAAGCGAAAGATGAAGAGATATCAGCAGCTGACAGAAGAGATAGAAGCCAACGGATGGGCTTGCAAGCTCCAGACAGTAGAAGTGGGAGCTCGAGGCACTTACAACTATAGCCTCCCAACCTTTATGAACCACCTGAACGTAAAGAACAAAGAGAAGAAGGCCTGCAAGAAGATCGCCGAGATCAGCCTGAGGGCATCGCATACCATCTATTTGTCCAGAAACACTACCATATGGACAGATGATGGGGAGTTAGTCAAGAGACCAGCAATAGCATAGTAGGAGCGTAGAATGTTTGGGCCCAGAAAAACATGCTTAATACCGCTATGAACCCGTCATAAGCCGGGACTACTATGGAAGTGATGATGCTGTGTTGTTGAAAGACCTTCGACCAATCAAAGATCTACCTCATCACGCCAAGCAGTTATGCTTGTAGGTGAATATACACAAGTATAGATAACAACAACTTTATAACACTCCCTAAAGTTGTTGATTGTTTTATTTGAAATCATCTATCTGAGAGAGTTAGAGTTGCTATCTTACGCTAAAACAAAAGTTTTATTTCCAGAATAACAATAGGAATGAGAATTATAATAATATCATCTTAAAATAAGCAAAAAGGTATGAATTTCGATACAATAGTCAGTGTCTTATATAATTTGTAAAATTTAAATTTTATTAAAGCAGATAAGAAATAAATACAAATACTGCTACAAAACCAAGATTATGGGTAGCATCATCTATCTAGAAATAAGATCCAAACCTTAGTTGGAGTTTCAGACAAGAGCCCAACTCGTGGTAGCTATAATAACGGTATGGTTAGAGGTATAAATTAGAGAATAAGATAAGATAGCTGGAAGAAGCTTCTGAAACTGAATTGTGTTGCTCCATAAAAATTATCTGAATGTGTTCATGCTGAACGTTTTGTTGTGCTGCAAGTGTCTGTAAGACATTTTTAGCCCGAGATATCAAAATTAAGTACATGTTTCATGTCACTATTTCAGGATGCACGAAGGTAATAAAACAGTTTTTAATGAATTTCTCCAAAACCTAGCTCACTACAAACCCTATGTTGCTTTATGATTATAGCTTGTATATTAATGTGGTCATAGCTGTTAGTTTCAGCTAAAAGAGAGGCCCCTACAAAGTTCAAAAGCCGAGATACAAAAAGTCATATATTTGCACCTGAGGGTCATTTAGAAATTTTCCCCCTAGGGTTGGAACTACTGATAGAAATTGCGTACCTTGATCCAGTATGACCTTATAAAGGACCTTGTAATATTATATATTATAAACAAATCTGTTCAATTCTAAAAATCATTTAAAAATCATCCAAAAATATAATTAGCCGATCAGGAACTCATAACATTGTTTCAGAAAGAAATCGTTTTTGAAAATCATTTAAAAGAATCATTTACTGATTTATCATTTAGAGTTAAAGAATCATTAAAAATATCAATTGAAAATCATTTAAAGTGTTTTTTGTGACAACCTGCATATCAAGTGGTTGAATAGGACTGAATGGATGTACAAAAGTTTATGGTTGGGAGTTAGATGATATCAGTTCCCCTCGTTTGGAACATAATATTATCCTTGATGAAATTTGAGATTTTTCGGTTTCTGGAACGGCGCATCAGTTTAAATCAAATTACAGCTGGAAAATGGGATCTACCGCTGAACAATATCGGTTGCACTGTCTTGGAAATAGATTTGATATCATTTCCCATCGTCGGGACCGTATCCTTGCTGAAAATTCAACTTCTTTGCAATTTCACGCCCTTTGTTGACAAACTCCAGTGCTTCTTGATAGCCAGTACCCACTGTACCAGGGGGTTTGAAGATTTGTATAATTGTCTTATGGAACGATGAGACTGGGAGAATGTACCACATAGCTCTATGTACATATACATATAATTTAGGGTATGTCATGGTCGGTGGTCTTGTAATGTAAGATTCTATCATCCCTCTAGCACATTCTTTTACATCACCTGTAGCCCATGCCGGAGTAGTCATACCCTCTCCAGCAACTATTTGACTTAAGTCCTTAGTAGCAATGTAGCCTACAGATCCGATGGTTAAGGACACAGGTGATTCTCTGGCCATCAATTCCTGTTGTAAACTGTAGAAAAAACCATTCATTCCGTGTTTAGTGGAACAGTAAATAGACATCCGATACAAAGGTGCTTCTCCTGCCATCGAAGAAGTGAACAGCATGTGTCCCTTACTTGCTTCAAGATGTGGGAGAGCATGCACTGCTAGTTCAATATGACTGAACAAATTCACCCGGAATATTTTTTCAATAAAATCCGGCTCTTGTCGATAAGGAAACCCTAAGAAAGCACTATTTCCCATAGCAGCGTGATTTGAAACCAAATAGTCAAGTTTTCCGAACCAGGCTATGGTTTGATTGATGACTCCACTGCTACCCTTTACATCAGAAAAATCAAAGGAAATGGTCTGAACATCAGTTGCTCCCAACTTTACCACTCCTTCCTTTACCACATCTAGCTTATCTTGATTTCTTGCTACCAGAACTAGTTTGGCTCCATGCCCAGCTAACTGATATGCCAGTTCTTCTCCGATACCACTACTAGCTCCACAGATGAGGACTACTTTGTCCTTAAGATGAGTGGTGAGTTGCTCATCTGACAATGGTGGAGCAGGTGATAGTAGGTAGTATAGTGAGACAGATATTAGCAGGAGAATGCAGGGCACTTTGTAATTCATGGAACAGCCTGTTTAAAATAAACCATTAGTTACAAAGACAAAAGTGCTTCATTAGAATTAGTTCTGATAATTTTGCAATGAACTGCTCTGGATTTTTTATCTTGAATCTATTTCATCATTAATTTATTCATGTAAGTTTCACTGTACTGTAAATAGATTGGAGATAAGGCGGCAAAACCATAAACCAGCCTTCTTATTATTAACTTAGCGAGGCGACAGAACAAAACAATATTATATAACACTTTAAAAAACACTCATCATGAAAAAAAACCCTAACACAGATCACAAACCAAATAATAATGATAATGGAAAACCCGTTATTGAAACACAACTTGCATTGAAATAATATTACAAACTGTCTAACTGGTGCGAGAGAGCTTTAAACACATTATCACAGCGAGTTAGAAAGTTAGGAAGGAAGTAAAAATGTACCGTTAATAATTTTCAGACTTGAACCTTACTTAAAAAACAAAAATTTGATTATTTCCGGTTTTGGGTTAGATCTTAATCCGGTTACGTCCCATTGTAATAGATTTAGTTTTATTACAGCACTAAAAGACCGTGCGGCATGATCTCTAAACTCTAAAGCAACACACGGCTGGAATATATATATATATATAATATGGCTGTACTTAAAGTTAAATGAATGTCTGTAATCTAAAGAGCTATAATCACCGTACGATTATTTTCGAATATTATTGGATCTCGTGCGAACAGTCTGTAAAACTTAAACCCAGCCAAAATTTTTCTTTACAACATGACATAATTTTTACCATGAAAGTTCGTATGATGTATAATTTATTGGGTCAATGTTTTGGTCCTTATCCTATCACCCTATTTTAAGAGCTTGTTATCCTATACTTGAAATTTCCCTCTTAAATTATCTATAGAGCACTGATTTCGAATTGGGCATTGGCGGATAGGCTAATTGTGTTAGAGTGCCTCGTAGTATTTATACTAAATACGCTAAGAACTCTGAACTTACTTTACTAAACGTATTTTGACCGTAAAATCAAATAAAAGTGGTACGGTAATGATTGGATTTATTTTTATGTGTAATCAGTAATGTGTATTTTCAATTTTGATTGACTGACCCTTCTGAGAATCTCTAAAAACTGCCAATTCTAATTTGGTGCTTGGATTACATTTTCATAAATTTGCAAAATTTGTATTCTTTTCTTTTTTGTTTAAAAGTTTGAAATAAACTAAAATTAGACGAATGCATAAATACTCACACCACACAATAAAATGTCTAAGTGCTGCCGCAAACGGTTTTAGTTCCCCTCGCCCTCGTTTGGACCATAACCTTGTTGAAATTTCAACTCCTTTGCCTTTTCATGCTTTTTATCTGCAGCATGTAACGAGTCTTGATACCCATTACCAACTGAACCAGGATGTTTGAAGGCTTGTATCATTGTCTTATGGAATGATGGATGAAAGTACCACAAAGCTCTGTTAACATATGCATATAATTTAGGGTATGTCATAGTCGGTGGTCTCAAGATGTAAGATTCTATCATCCCTCTAGCACATTCTTTTACATCACCTGTAGCCCATGCAGGAATCTTAATGCCTTCACCAGCCATCATTTGACTTAGGTCCTTGGTAGCAATGTAGCCGAAAGCTCCCATGGTTAAGGATACAGGTGATTCTCTCGCCATCAATTCCTGTTGTAAACTGTAGAAAAAACCATTCATTCCGTGTTTAGTCGAACAGTACATTGCCATCCGATACGAAGTTTTTTCTCCAGCCATTGAAGATGTGAAAACCATGTGTCCTTTGCTTGCTTCAAGATGTGGGAGAGCATGCACTGCTAGTTCAATATGACTGAACAAATTCACCCTGAATATTCTTTCAATGAAATCTGGCTCTTGTTGATAGGGAGACCCCAAGAATGCAAAATTTGGCATAGCAGCGTGATTTGAAACCAAATAGTCAAGTTTTCCGAACCAGGCTATGGTTTGATTGATGACTCCACTGCTACCCTTTACATCAGAAAAATCAAAGGAAATGGTCTGAACATCAGTTGCTCCCAACTTTACCACTCCTTCCTTTACCACATCTAGCTTATCTTGATTTCTTGCTACCAGAACTAGTTTGGCTCCATGCCCAGCTAACTGATATGCCAGTTCTTCTCCGATACCACTACTAGCTCCACAGATGAGGACTACTTTGTCCTTAAGATGAGTGGTGAGTTGCTCATCTGACAATGGTGGAGCAGGTGATAGTAGGTAGTATAGTGAGACAGATATCAGCAGGAGAATGCAGGGCACTTTGTAATTCATTTTCCTTAACATTCCAGTTGACCGCCGCGCCAGAGATTCTCAATTTGCTCAACTAGCGCATATTAGAGGGAAACACTTGTGCTCCAAGTCAATTGCCGTATCTGTAATTTAAGAAATTGGAAGAAGTAACTGAACTATACTCATGTTTTATACACATCAGTACACTAGTGAACAATACATGTGTCACATTAAAATACAGGCACGCTGCCCATGCACTGACTACTGCAGTACTACATACAAGTACAAATCTCAAGCAAGCAACCCTCCGCAAGCAACTGTGCGCGGTTTTTTTTTAGTCATGACAAACTGCAAAGTGTGATAAACGGAAACGAAATCGAAACCTGCCTTTCCCCATTTTATCTCAAAAATCCCCCCCATCTTATCTCCAAAATCCCTCTTTTTCTGAAAAAAACGTCTGTTTGTAACCTTCATTTTACATTTTTGCAAAAATGATGAACGGGGATTCATTCTTATCGATATGTTTCATCGGAACTGAATTACTTGCTGACGTTGCAGCTTTCAAGATCTTTCTAGAACTGAGGAGGGTACTGAAATTGAAGTGTCAGTTGCGTTACCGGAGTGTTCATTACTGAGCTGAAGGGGGGGGGGGGGGGGGGACTCTTGTGTTCAAGCTGGAAAATTGTTGAAAGTCGAAATATTATATGATTAGCGGCAAAAAATTGTCCTTTAGGTGTTCGAAATGATATTTATATTTTAGATGAATATTTGATTTAAATTATTTCGTACTTTACTAGTAAATTATGTAAAAAATTGGGTTTTTTTTTATTTTTAAATTCTCCATTTTATGCCATTGGCCCCCCTATATTATCTAATCCGGCTGCTAAAGTAAGTAGTTTGAAAGGTGCTTGGCCGGATATAATAACAACGATTTCGGCTCATTATGATCAGGGTAGCATCAAACATAAAGAAAACTGTTTCCAGGGAAAAACAAAGTAAAAAAAGTCAGGCCATGATTACGTAATATTGCTGTCAGGAGGGGGGGTTGGGTCTTTATTACAACTCCTTACGGGTAAACCCCCCCCCCCCTAAACGACTCCTTACGGGTAAACCCCCCCCCCTAAAACGTCACCTGTTTTTTGGGCCCAGATTGCCGAGTTAGGGCTAAATTTACGGGGTTCTGAAGTGTCTAGGAATAATATTTAAACCTTTTTCTAGCCTGCCAGGAAGATTTGGAAATTTGAAAATAAAATCAGGTACAATTTTTTTGACGTTGAAATGGAGTTCGTTTTAAAACACCACCCCTAAAATGTCATTTCTATATGTGTGATAATTACAAAATGTACAGGAGGCCTGATTTATCTTTTGTCACTAGTACTATTTGTTTTGTCTTATTAAAACATTAAGCTACTTGAAAACATTCACTCACTAAAGTAAGTACCTCAAAACCGTAATCACCCCCTAAAATGTCACGTGCACTACCCCTAAAACGTCAGCTAAAACAGGTTGTGTAGCACTCAGAATGTTGCTCAATTATTAATTTTAACCACTTCTGGGACTAATATAACCTATTTCTGAGAGGTGTCGACCAGAATTTCTCTCTCTGTTGAAAAAAAATGGTGGAATTTAGTCAATTTACTTTTTGTGACATTTTGGGGACTTTTTTTTGAATACCCAGAACTTACGGCAAAACAGTAACTCAGTCAACAAAATGTACACCTGAAGTTAGATTATCTAGTTATATAAACTAACAATTGGCACAAAAGAAATGGATTCAACGTGATTTTAACCTTGTGCAAATTGCATGTTTTGGGATTTTTAACATCATCCTGCATCTTGGCAATTTTAGTGACCTGTAGTTAACTAAGCCAACCCAGTAATCGATCTGACCTTCTCTATAGACTAGATTTGACTGCTTTTAGCAAAATTGAATGTCAAAAACTACGGTTTTTGGTACTTACTAGTTTATGGTAAACCTATGATATGCCCCCTAATATGTCATTTTTTTCTTCCCTAAAATGTCAAATTTGTATTTTGTTCGCATGGTGTGCGATAATAGCTCTTGTGTTGGCACTTGTTAATTATTAACATCAACTATTAACGAAATGTGAGTATGCATTGCATCTTAGGAAAAGCCTGAGTAATTTGATCAGGTTAAAATGACATTTTAGGGGGGATAATTAGACATTTTAGGGGATGTTTATTGCGATTAATAAAATAAAACTAATTCCTTGAGCTGCCAAAGCTTTCCAATATTACCATTAGATGCTAAATATGATGTTTAATAGGCTGATACCTCTATTTTATGGTGCTTGTAGTCTCAAAGCCAGAATCTGATAAAATGAAATTTTAGGGGGCGGCCAGGTGACATTTTAAGGGAGGGTAGTAATTTTGAGTAATGTATAACTTTCCATATCTCCAGTCATATGTACAAAGTTGCTAAAATATGTAAATATCACTATCCTAGACCAAAACTGAGTTAATATTAATGAATTCCAGAGTTTTTTTTTTTTTCAAAAGTAAAAAATTCGTACAAAATGAAAAAAATGCCCTTATGGCATCATTTAGATTCAATTTCAGGATGTGGCAGGGTCTGAATGATATTTTTTATGTTTAGGAGTTACAAATGATTAGGTAAGATACTTTCTAAGAAGATGGGATCCAATCAATCAAGAGTGGCGTTTAAGGGGTGGGTGACATTTTAGGGGGGGTTTACCCGTACTGCAATTAGCATGGACCAAGATCCTTATCTAATTGGGGGCTTTTCGCACTTGTTTCATTGAATGTGTGTTTGCTTTTCATGTGTGTTTCATGTGTGTCTCATGTGTGTTTCTATGAGGTCGTTATTTTTCTCCCTTCCCCGATTTCTTTGTTTGCCGTTTCTCCCTTTGAAAACTTCTCGATAGTATCATTCTCTAATTACTATAGTTACCGAACAACTACCTCGCTACCTGTTAACTATCTACCTGGTGATTAGCACCATTGAAATGCTCCAATGAGCTTGAGGCACATAGTTTTGTAGAGATCGAGTTCGCATGTGTATTTAGATTTTTAATTTTAGTTTCTTTAGTAATTTTAGTTTTTTTAGACAATAAAATGATAAATCTCCCTTTAATCTTAAATCATGAAATAATGTTAAATTCTTTGAGAGAACCGGAGTGATTCAAACTTTGGTCAAATAAGCGGAATCATTTATTAAACAGCATGACACAGTACGATACCGAATGATTGAAAAATGATTGATGAATGATTACGGCCAAAGCCCGGTTCTAAGAATAAAGATAAATACTGATAACGATAAATTTTAAAGATAACGGAATTTTAGGAGCTAGTTGTCCGATGATTTAAAAGTTGATTGATAGCCGCGGACGCGAGACTAGGATCGATAGCCGCAGTTGCGAAGACAATGATATTGTATGCATGAAAATCGAATTATTGCTGAGAATGGAATGCCCGAGGTTAATACCGGATGCCCGAGGTTAATACCGGATGCCCGAGATAATTATCGTAGGAATGATTACTGAGATAAGCGCGATAATTGGACGTGTCTTTTTAAGCTGAATCAAGCAGCTCTAATCAGCACAGCCTCGTATTATTTTGAGAGAGTTTTGTCACTTTAAAGAAGTTCAACAGATAGCTCCCATTTTCTTACTGTTAAATATACTACACAGCTACACTAGTTTAAATCTGTTTCATAACGTGCTCGTTTCTCTTAGTCCCACTTAGTCTAGGTGATAATCAATAATTATTTTGTTTCTCGGATTTATAAATTTTTGGTATCATGGTATAGTTCTAACGATGATGAGATCAGAACACACGGCCATAATTCTGGGAAAACTTGCATTGTTGGAATATCGTGATTTTAAAACGGCCTTGAATCAAAAAAAGTGTTACGAAAAAACGGCGTTATTTTGCTGAAATTTGGGCTCAGCGTCGGACTGTTTTCAAAAGCTCATGATAAATTGTAATAAAATGATGCAATCATGAAAATTTCTGGAATCTATGTACAAATAACTTTTCCAAACGATAGCATCAAGTATGATAAGTTTACAAATATCCGTGTATTTGATAAACGCAATAATATGAGTCAAGTCAGAAACACGCCTACTCGCACACATTTTGAACTATAACTCGAGCTACAAACGTCGCAAAACAACTGCAGTTTCGGTGAAATGGCGCCAGAGAGTCTGTGGAACGCGCAGTAGAGCTCTCGCACGTGAGAAATGTTCGAGTCAGTCTACATTGTTTGGCGCGCTGTTTCGTTTCCGTTACAAATGTTGACCTTGTACGCCATTTTGTCGCCATTTTGTCAATTTATACGTAATTTCGTAAATTTCGTCAATACCACGTTTAGCCAAATTCCACAGAGAGCTTATAATTTACTTCCAACACGAAATAAACATTGCTAAGGCCATGAAGTTACCTAATGGCTACTTTTAACGGAAAATCAAGTCATTCTGTGACATGTAGCGTCCTTTTGTCACTTAAATGGATGACGTTGATCTGACTCTAGAACATCGTGAAACTTTCCATCAGTAAAGCTAAAAGTATTTCCATTCTAAAAAACTTTACTTCAAGATAATTGCACGAAAGATGAATAAGTGTCTAAAGATCCATTTGATTGAACTTGTCTTCAACTTTTAAGCTGTATTACGTCTCGAAATAAGCGATCGACCGCGCAGGATTACCACCTACTTAGTCTTTGTCGAAGAAAACCCTAAAGCGCACAGTTTTATAGTTTAGTGGGTCTGAGTATTGTTCTTCTCAGTTGTGACAGAATTGTAACTTTGTAATGAGCAAAATACTTATAATTATTTATGATATGTTTGATTTCTTGTTGATGTTTGTCATTCAAATTTGGTAGACGGCCCCAACGTTAATGTGGCTCTTGCTATGTGTCCGTTCAGCCGAATTAATTATCATATAATCAAGTTTATTTTTCTAGTGTAGTTAGTTGTCATCCGGCCACACAATAAGTAACTTATATTGCAGTACCATTTATCAATTAGTATATCCAAATATGTCACTGTAATTTTGCATGG